GTAAAGCAGAGCGATATATTTCATCCGAGTTTAATGAAAAATATCTATTCCCTTAGTAGTATTAGCTGCAACATTGAGATGCGGAGAGAATATACCATCACACCACATGGGGAAACTATAGTGAGCTTTGACTACCACCATCATGTTTTTAAACTTTTGCACAGTAAACACATGTCGACGATCACCCATCATACTACTAAGTAGTACTGTACTACACATTAACTCCCCTCAATCAACTCATCTCCAATCGACCATCACACGAACTACCCCAATTGCTCTCTCCCTCCCTTCCCATTAATCCCTCAATCTCAAAAAATTTACCCCACATCTCATCCCCATCCCACCCTACTATGTACGTAGTCTACTTTGCTTACACTCCGTATACCACAAAGCTAAGAACCAACAAACCGCAAATCCACGCAGATCCAAAGCCAAAAAACAGAGTTCAGCCCAGGATGCAATTAGCTTTTTTTTTCCTTCGCTGAACTTCCCTAATTCAGGGCGCATATCGCGGGTAGACTCGGATACTTAGACTATCTCTGAAGTAAGCTACTTTGTATATTATGTAGTCTAGTATTTTGGTATGTGGCAGGGGGTTGATGGATCCAAATTTCAGATATGTTATGTTCTTCTGATTGATTTGTTTAACCGGGGTGGGAATCAGGCACCAGTACCAACCAACCATAACCAATGTAAAATGGTAGTAGATACTACTACGAACTCCTTCTCCTCCTCTAGACGAATGATATCTGTTGTCTACTAGTCTACCTACTGGATAAGTAAGTAGGTAGCGAGGATACTCCTCCTATCTACTCCGTAGTACCTATGGATACTATCGATAGGTTACTATACTCCGTATTCAGAAACATACCAAGTGGACCATTATCCATATCATCCCATCCAACATAAATAATCCCGCAAACATGCTAAGTACTTACTACACGTAGATAGTAGATACTACTAACTAGTATCCCAGATAACCACTGTGACTAGGAGGAGTATACTTCCACCGTGTCACATTCAATCCCAATGAAATGTACTTAGTATCCATAACTCCATCCATCTTCTCCATCCCGACTGGATGAACAAATTAGTAGTAAATGGGGGCTCTACCCCTCTCTATCCTAACCAGTCCCAATCCAGCACCCAAGTAAATACTAGGGCTAGGGCAGTAAGTACCCCACTCCCAACCAAATCCGTACTAGCCAAACTAACACTAACTAAGACAACATAACATTCACAGTACGCAAGCCCCCTTTCCCAATCCAGCCACTCGGTGTTTTAGGGCTTCTTCCAGATTTGCCCACCGAGGGGGAGAACCCGGTACCTCGATTCCGAGATTCTCCGATACGACCATGACTAGCCTGGTTCGGTTAGAGTCCCGTTCCATATGTTCCTTCGCCCCTCCTTTTGTTTTAATTGTTTTGTTTGATTCCAGGCACGTTATGATGAAAGAATCTCTGTCTCTATACCAAGCATTGCATATAATAACAGGATTTAGTATATATGTGTCTTGGTGTGGTCGATGAACGTTCTAGACGCTCGTCAAAGTTGCCACATAGCCCCTGTGTGCCGCTCATTTTCAGATGTTATGGGTGGTTTGTTTTAGATATTCAAAAGGATTGAAGGGTGTGTGGTAGGTACGGATTATGAGGGTGACGTCATTGCGCACTAGCCCCGTCAACGCATGGAGGACAGTCCTCCGACCCTCCGAGTAAGTAGCCTACTTTGTAAAACTAACTTACTGGGATTAGTCCCGTCCCGTCTCCATCAAGCCACTTAGGTTACTGACTGTGATTCGGCTCGCAAGCACATGCATGCATGCATGGATGGGTTGAGGTTTCATTTGCGAACTGTTGGTGGGAGCGATGTTTGATGGCTGGGATTGGCGGATAGAAGTGGTTTCCTATTATTAAATTATTATCCTCGACTATTTTTCATTATTTTTTTTTATTTTGTTCCGTCTATTCTAAGGGGTAAAGGAATGAAAGTGAAATACATGGATTGCTTTCTATACGTATTGTATTGTGGTGTAATCTGGCTATTGCTTGAATTGCTAGATACACATTTCATCTCAATAGGTCCATCCACTCATAAGCTCATTTTGTCCAATTTTACTGGTTTATGGCCTGCATAAATCAAAAATCGCTCTCTATCATCATCTAAGCAGAAAGGTTCTTGGCGGTCTCCTCGGGCCACACGTCGTAGCCAAAGGTGTCCTTCATGTTGACGAAGCGGAAGTGACGACCCTCAGCCACCTTGTTGACGGCTTCGTACTCCTCATCCGTCAGCTGGATGCTCTTGAAGTTGGACTCGATACGAGCGGGGTTGGAGCTCTTGGGGAGCACCACGTAGCCACGACGCAGACCCCAGGCGATGAGCACCTGCGCCAGAGTGTAGCCGCCCTTCTTGGCGATGTCGTTCAGCGTCTGGTTCTCGCTGACCTTCTCACCCGTCGTGGGCACCTGGTTCTGGGAGCCCAGGGGAGAGTAGGCCTCGGGCAGGATGCCGTGGTCGAAGCAGTATTTAACCAGCTTCTCGTTGGGCAGGAAGGGATGGATCTCGATCTGGTTGACGTGAGGCTTGACCTCAGCGTACTTGAGAAGCTTCTCCAGACCCTCGATGGTCCAGTTGGAGACACCGATCGCCTTGGCCTTGCCCTCCTTGTAGATCTTCTCCATTGCCCTCCAGGTGGGCTCCGGGTTCTCAGTGAGATCCTTAAGGATCACGTACTATCGGAATATCAAGTCAGCTGTGCTCCGATCGGTAGTACCCGATATAATTGAGTAAAGACTTACCTTTCCATCAGGGCCAATCTTGGGCTTCTCCTGAGTCTCCTTCTCGGCAGCAATGGGCCAGTGAACAAGGAAGAGGTCGATGTAGTCGACCTTGAGCTTCTTGAGGGAGCTCTCGACGGACCACTGCACATCCTCGGGGCGGTGGAGGTGGTTCCAGACCTTGGTGCAGATGAAGATGTCCTCACGCTTGACGGAGGGGTTGGCAGCGAGGAAGTCCTTGACGGCGTCACCAACCTCACCCTCGTTCAGGTAGTACCAGGCACAGTCGAGGTGACGGTATCCAGTGTTAAGAGCGCAGGTGACGGCCTTGTAGGTCTCACCCGTGGCACCCTCGTTGGCGAAGGTACCGAAGCCGACGCCGGGGATCTTGACGCCGTTGCTAAGAGTGAAAGTCTGTCCGGAAGACATGGTTGTATAGGGGTATCGATGTGATGGAGTATAGAAGGGATTGGGTATAACTGAGGAGGAAGAAGAGTAGCTAGGGAAGCCGAGGGATGAGTACAAATAGCGGGTGGGAGGGGAAGAAGTCACTTGGTGGTATCGGCGAGGAGGGGCTCTCGTTGAGAAGGCAACTTTACAGGCAAGAACAGCAAGTGGGGTGGAGGGGGTTGTGTTGATGAGGGGTATGATGCTGTTGCTGCTACTAATTCTATTATGCAGGGTCATTTCTTTGACTTTCGGTTTGCTGCTGAATGTACACTTGTACTTTTTTTTTTTTTTTTTTACTTTAACCAGCCATCTTGTGGATGAACATCCACACTTGACCTTGGTGTTTTGGTTTATTTCCAAGCTCGAGCTTGGGGGAGCTCCTGGTGCATTTTTTTTCTACTCAGTGAAGCTTCCATCCATGACGGCATGGGCACGTTTTTGGTTTGGCCTGAAGAGACACCAAACCCACTTTTTTCTGGATCCATTGAATTCATTCCGATTTCCCAATCCAGACGGGGAAATTGCAATTACCAAAAAAACGAGAACATGGAGCCCATGACATCACTGGGTGTATTGGTTTCGAAACGGCGCGAGCGTTTGACCCGCCGCCGCCCGCTCGATCGTCATCGGCTCCAGCGATCTGTGGCTCGTTCGTGAGTGGAATGCCCGTAGCGACGAATCACTCCCCATCAAGAGTCCCGCTGGCACCCCCTCCTGTCCACTCAACTTGCAGCAGCTTCTTCCTTCTTGGGTGGTTCGTCCTGCGAACAAATTTCCAGCCTGCCCAATCACCTCTCGAAGAATCCGGTGATGCCACTCCCCAGTTGCCCTCCCGCCCCGCCGCGGTGGGCAGTTCAGGCTGCCATCTGCAGCCACGATGCTGCGCCGGCAGTGAAAGTGGTGTGAAGAGTGGGACACTTGGTGTGGGATGGCGGTTTAATGCCTCAGAAAAACCCCCGAATCTGTCCCGAAAGTAGTAACTTGGATACCTGCACAGGAATGGCATTGAGCATTTGTGCGTGTGTGTCTTATGTGTCTTGGTATATGTGTGTGTGTGTGTCTGCGTATGTCGTAGTATTGAGCATGTCATATATTACCACCAGCCAGGGTCCAGCGGTCACAGTCTTGAAAGATTACCACACAGCTCCACCCACAACCTTGCCTAGAAAAGTAGTGGACATCTTTTTTGTAAAGTCCAGTTATTCTTACTTGCTACGAGCAGCTAAACTGCATCCATCGAGCTGCCATTGTTGGCTCCGCTCCCTCCAGCAAACTGCGAAATGTCGCAGCTAATCACCTCCCCGTAAAATAATGACGACGAGAATTCCTAGGGATGATGATACGCCCCTCCCAACCCAGTCGGTGGATCCAGATGGCTGATTTGGCCGAAGCGCTGTCTCCGTATGGCTGCAACCCAGGATAAACACCTCCTTGTCGGTGGTACGCCTTCTCCCCCTCGTCCGCTGGACCTTACCGCCACTGTACTCTGCTGAAGAGAGCTTGTTATATATGGTCCTCTTCGCCTCCCTTCTCTTTCTTTTCCATCTTCATCCTTCTCTTTCACATCATCTTCCTCTTCCATCTTCCTCCGGTGACAATTGCCTGCAGGTGACGCCCGTTGGTTGTCTTCCTGTTTTCGTCTCCGAGTGATATCATCCTATCCTATCTTATCTTAGTCTTCCTCCCTCTCCCTCCTCTTATATCCTCACCCACCTTTGTTTTCCACTCAATTGAACCTCCTCCCACAACCTCAATTTCTTCCAGCAATTCATCATGCCTCGCTTTGACGACGCCGACTTTGCCGTGGACGCTGCCCCTGCCCCGGGTGCCCGCTCCCCCCGGGATGCTCGTGGTAGCGCTGCTGGCTCTCTGCCCATCCCTAACGATGCTGGCAACACTGTTGAGATCCCCGCTACTCGCAGCTCCATCAGCGATGCTGCTCAGTACATGCACAACCTGAGCTTTGCTCCCTCCTCCCGGGACCGTCGTGGCTCCCGCAACTCCTTCGGCACTTCCCTGCCCATCCCCAGATCTCCCCGTGTCTCCCGTCTTTCCTCGGTGGTCACTGCGGATGTATCCCGCGACATCCTGGCCTCTCAGGTCCAGGACATGTCCAAGGAGAAGGTCGCTGCTGCTAAGAACATGGCCTTTGCTTTCGATATCGATGGTGTCTTGGCCCACGGTAACGAGGCCATTCCCGAGGCCAAGGAGGCCCTCGCGATGCTCAACGGTGACAACGAGCTGGGCATCAAGATCCCTTACATTCTCCTGACCAACGGTGGTGGTAAGACTGAGGATGAGCGCTGCGCCCAGCTCACCGAGGTCCTTGGCTGCCCCATCTCCACCGACCAGTTCATCCAGTCTCACACCCCAATGCAGGCGTTGGCCGAGTACTACGAAACCGTCCTGGTCTGCGGTGGTGAGGGCCAGAAGATCCGCAAGGTCGCTGAGAACTACGGCTTCAAGAACGTCATCCATCCCAAGGATATCCTCGCCTGGGACCAAACCATCTCCCCCTGGGGCTGCTTCCACGAGGAGGACCGTCTCCAGGCCAAGCCCCGCGACTTCTCTAAGATCAAGTTCGATGCTATCCTGGTGTTCGCCGACTCCCGCGACTACGCCACTGACATGCAGCTCATCATGGATCTCCTCCTGGCTGAGGACGGAAAGCTGCTGACCCGCGCCAAGGACCCCGTTGCCTCCCGCATCCCGGTCTACTTCTCCCAGGGTGACCTGGTCTTCCCTACCGACCACAAGGGTCCCCCCCGTCTGACCCAGGGTCTCTTCCGTATCTCCATTGAGGCTCAGTACAAGGCCCTCACCGGTGTCGACCTGGAGCGTGTCGTCTACGGCAAGCCCGAGCGCGCCACTTACACCTACGCCGATGAGGTCATGAAGGCCTGGATGGAGCAGATCCACAACGAGAACCGCCTGCCCGAGAACATCTACATGGTCGGTGACAACCCGGCCTCCGACATCTGCGGTGGTAACATGCACGGCTGGAACACCTGTCTGGTGCGCACCGGTGTCTTCCAGGGCAAGGACAACGACGACAACAACCCGGCCAACTTCGGTGTCTTCCCCAACGTCCTGGAGGCTGTCAAGGCCGCCGTCCGCAAGGAGCTCGGCCAGGACTTCAAGTTCAAGTGGAACCCCAAGGTCAACCCCGTCCTCCACGGCGACGGTGCCTCTGCTGTCGAGTAAACGCATTAAAAATCGGCGCTTGCTTATTCCTTTCTTCCCACACCTCTTTTTCACCCATTTTGTTCACATCTTGATCGATGTTAGACATTTTCTTTGCATGTTACGGCTTACGGGTTTGGACTATTGATATCCATCGTCGCTCCTGGGCCACAAAAAATCGCCATCAGCGAGTCGACTGATTTTGTTTTGGAATTTTTTTTTTTGGAGACTCTTTTAGACTGGGTTTTTTGCTTTCTTACCCATGGGACGAACGTGCACATGCATGCTAGGCAATGCAAGGCCATGCGGCGTCACTTTCTTTTTTTCTCTCCCTCTCATGTTCACATACACATTTCACATACCAATGATGTCTCTTCCACTGGGCTGGTTAGATGGATTGGATAGGTTCGGGTTACTTTAGACTTTTGCTTTGATTCTGATTTTGATTTTGGTTACATGGAATCTACTACGACCCTGCAATGTTGCAGCCGGTTTCTTTCCCACCCACCCAATGACCGTTCCCAGTAACCCAGTAAACTTCGTCACGAGTAGACGTAAAAACTTAACCGTCGAAGCTTTCCTAATTATGTACCATTCTCGAAAAACTTTGGTAGCGAGTCGTGACGACATTGTCGCCGCGTGCGGTCGGACTCGAGAAACTCAATTTTCCTTTGCTGTCATTATTCCCATCCGTACGAACCTTCAAATGAGCAGAAAAAGGGTAAGTAAGTAAAGTAATTGTAGTACAAAGTACTAAGTAATTTCGGGTCCTCGTCCAATAAAACCACCCGAGTATCTCAGCGGAACCTTCCGATCCAACTCCATCCATCCCGTGTGTACGAGATCCCCGAGCGTTGGATAATTAACTGGTGGTAGTGGTGGCTTGCTTTCGAGCCGAGCAATAGACACAATCCTTAATTACATTTCCGTTCCGGTTCCCGAAGCGGGCTGGATTGGGGCTTGGCTACTCGGAACGTCCCGGGTGTCACTCACCTCACTTGGAAGTACGGAGTAGCATCGGGTTTCTGTTGCTCGGGAATTAGTTTCGGAGGGGTCTGCTCGATTAGGGGTGTTATACGACTTTCGTTTATGCTGCATATACTAGTGGATTTGGAATTGGTTTGTCATGCAATAGCATGTTATGGATGATGCACCTCGGTTCGGGGTCAGGATTGTGAGCTCGGGCTGGGGGTGTTTGACATCTACCGAGTCCGGGAAAATGTAGTGCAGGGGGAGGGGGGGATTCAGTTTGATGCTTGTGGAGGGGTGTGGTGGGGTTACTGTGGATTGGTTCTTTAAGAGTATGTAGTGGTTTGTTTGGTGTGCTTGTGCGCGGTGATGGTACCTGATTGTGGGTTGTTTTTGTTGGAATGGTTGACTTTCATGGAGGGGTTGTATGTGTGTGTGTATGTGTGGTATGACGCCTCTTTCTTGGGGTTCGTTTTGTGGGGGCGAGTTGGTTCAGAATGTGGTTTGCCATTTTATAATGGAAATGCAAGCAAGAGTTAGGGACAGTTGTTTCATTATACTATTGCAGGTGCTTACTTGGTATATTGGGGTTGTGATAGACATTAAAAATTAGAAGGAGGAAGGTGAGTAAGTATCCTCATTGGTATAACTGGTTCGTTATTCCTATCGCTCATTTAGATTCCACTGCAAGTTGTGATTTTGTGGGAGCATATTCGTGTAAATGTGCATTGCGTATAACATTATTAGAGCCATTTCAAACTCCTATTCTGGCTGATATAGGTGAATACCGGTCGCAAGATTAATTGTTATCTCAGTTGGCGTGAACGTTAACATGGGTAGGATGCTAATGTGTATAACGGTAGGAGATTGTAGATATCCACAGATCCCATAGTACTGTGACCACGAAGTGGGCTGACGTCCGGTTATGCATGGATTGTTCGTATAGGGCTCGTACTTTTGGTGGAAGGATCGAATGAAGTCATGTTGCTAGGGTTTGATCCGATTGATCAAGGTACTTATTGTTTAGGTTCAATTGTAGCACTTATCTCGTGTCCGCTTTAATGATAATGATAGCATACTTACAACCAGTCGTCTTCTGCTCGTCATCATTTACCTCTGGTCCTCCAATCGGGCTGGCTTCTATGTGATGTCACACGGCTAATCCTTGAACCAGTATGCCTGTAGTAGGGATTGTCCTCCCACGTGAGACTAGTTGTGGAGATCTGTTTAAGCTTCTGTGTCTGCTAAGCGGGACGCGAATCCATGTCTGTGTAACAATATCAGCTACATAGCAGGTTAAGGTGGCGAATGGAAACACCGTTCTGGTGCTTCCCTGACGAGGCTCTACAAGTACCCGGTTTTAACAAGGTTCCTGGAGGGAATCGTGCGTCTTGCTGCATATCAGCGTTCTTTTTTGTGTCACGTAGATGTACCGAATACACGGATGGACAAGGTGATAGGCGTAACTATATTCAGTAAGGTAGTGCGCTGATGACTGCAAAGGTACTGGCTGCTAGAGTTTACTTTCTTCTATGTGCTTCTCTGGGTGTTCATGCGAGTCAACGTAATGACTACCGTATGAATTTCACCTTGGCCATATCGTTGTGCTTATGTCTGTAGCTATTGATGGAAACAAGGGGCTGAGAGTTTCAGCTGGAAGATGAGTACGGATGATGGAAAGGGCGGCCAAGAAGGAAAGCAAGGCAAAAAGACAGAATATCAGGTGACCGTCATGTGAAGAAATAAGCCAAGAATCGAAGTCTAACCTCCTAATGTAGTCAATCTCCACTTAGCTGCTTCGAATTGGAGTGTTATACAAGATGTCCTCTTTGCTATCAACAACCAGGGACTTATCAGGCACAGTGGACATCGTCGGCAAGACGATACAACGAAAATGGCACCTATCAACTAGGTAGTCAGCTTTAGAAAATGTATACAGCTTGAAAAGGGGTCTGGTGCATATTCACTCTATATTATGTTCTCGGCAATGATGATATGCTTGAGCATTCCGCCAACCCATAGCATATTGGCCGTCGGATTGGACCATGTCCCGTTTCAGCACCCCCCGTGACCTTTTTGTGTGAGAGGTCCAAAGACTTATTTGGCCATTGAGGTCTGTAAGTGCCTGTCATTCGCAACCTCAATGTGGAATTGTACCTCGAAAGGGCAGCTGCCACGTGGATCTGAACTGCCTAAAGTAGCCATGTGCATGAAGAATGCAAGGAGTATCATGAATCCAGATTTCAAGTAAGTGTGAGCCTCATTCATCAACGTTATTCGATGGCCCTGCCACATACTCAAGGAATCCATCAAGCCCATGAGCGTGACTGGGAAATGATACCCCTACCAGTCGGATTATGGCACCTTATATGGTGGCGAAACTAGGGATGCGCCTTGTTTCTTTTCGCATATACGCGACGATCATTCCTAAGGGACCGGCGTCTACGCTATCTATTCTACTGCAGAGTACGCTAACATTCAAAAGTATGTACCTCGTCTGTTTCCTTGTGCAACCTCTTAGTCAATGGCAGTTAACTATAAAACTTGTTTTTACAGTTGGACTGAGTCATGTTAAACTATCGCTTTCACTGAACGCATGTCATCCATAAAACCAACCAGCCTGCGAGAGAGGGGAACGGTGGATACTGATACGGTAAGGTGCGGAATGTGGATGTTGTGGACTAAACTCAAGAGTTGGACCTTCCCCAGCAAGGGCCGTTGACTGAAGAACATTAAAGCTTGAGTCGTGCGCTGCACCGTTGTACCTGTGTGAGGCGAGTGATGGCAGAGCGGGACTCGCCTTGAAGGATATAAGTTTCTAATCCCTGTTTTTCAGAAACTCTGCACACGAAAGAATTCTTGATGAAACCACACCCAGGCCGAAAGCCTATCTCAACATCTTCCATACCCCATTAGCTAGTTCCATCCATATCTCAGTTATGGGCTCCTCGACTGCGAATGGCAGTCCCGGGGACCATGTCTCCTTCGAGCCGATTGCCATTCTAGGGATGGGTAAGTATGAATATGCACCCCCACAGAATATTTCGTATACTGATTTATCATAGCCTGTCGTCTTCCCGGATCTATTACATCCCCTTCCAGACTCTGGGACGCCCTGGTCAATAAAACATCCGTCCGGACACCAACTGTGCCCGAAAGTCGGTTCAAGATCGATGCGTTTTACCACAAAAACCTGAACAGACCCGGTAGTCTCAATGTTCGTGGCGGTTACTTCCTTGACGGCAGTCCTCATGACTTCGATCCTAGCTTTTTCGGTATGACGCCGGTTGAGGCCATGTGGTTGGATCCACAGCAACGGCGCATACTCGAAGTTACATATGAATGTCTCGAAAACGCCGGCCTGAGATTGGAAGACGTTGCCGGGAAAGATATTGGGGTGTTTGTGGGCTGCTTCACATCAGATTACCAACAAATGCTCCATCGCGAGCCGGACTTTCGCCATGAGTATGCAGCGACAGGAACTGATCCTGGTCTTCTTAGCGCGAGAGTGTGTAACATCTTCGATCTGCGTGGGCCAAGGTGAGTGATGATTATACTATGGGTCTAAATCGTGGCAAACCTGACAGACAAATCTAGCGCCGTGATCAATAGCGCTTGTTCTTCGTCTATGACTGCTATCCACCAAGCATGCCTGGCTCTTCAGACAGGCAAATGCGACGCCGCAATTGCGGGAGGTGTGAATCTAATCATTTCAGTAGATCAACACATGAATACCACTAAGCTGGGAATCCTATCACCGACGTCCACCTGTCACACGTTTGATGCTGCAGCAGACGGATATGGCCGTGCCGAAGGAGCAGGCGCCATCTATCTACGCAGGCTCAGTGATGCGGTCCGCGATGGTAATCCGATTCGTGCTGTTATTCGTGGCTCAGCGCTAAATACGTGAGAGAGTTCAGGGCCCCAAGACAGGTAATGAGTGACTGACCGATATAGAAACGGCAAAGTGACGAACCAAGGGATTACCCATCCAAGTCTAGAGGGACAGGAAAGAGTCCTTCGTGCTGCTTACAAAAGGGCCGGCTTAGACCCAACGGACACAGTTTATGTTGAATGCCATGGTAAACACGAGTAATGGATTTCAGAACGCAAAGAGGTGCTGAAACCTTCTTAGGGACTGGCACACCAGTTGGCGATCCCATAGAAGTCAAAGCTATTTCGAACGGAATGAACGAAAGACGGAGTCGCGAGCAGCCTCTGCTGCTGGGAGCTGTGAGTTTCTCCTGTAAATCCTTCTAAGGCATGTGGAAAAACTGAAACTATAATATTTTATTAAAAGATAAAAGCGAATATTGGCCATAGTGAAGCTGCCAGTGGTATATTTGCTGTGATCAAGGCGGCTCTGATGGTGGAATCCGGTGTCATCCCTGGAGTAGCGGGCTCAAGACACTCAATCCGGCTCGTTCGTACACCATACCTTTACAAATGAGTAGGCACAGTCAAGTCTAACATTTACTAGTCAAGGAGGAAGAATGGAATGTTAAAGTAAATGTGGATACGATATTGTGGCCGAAGAGCCCCCTTACCCGGCGGGTTGGGGTATCGTCCTTCGGATATGGTGGCACCAACGGCCATCTGATACTGGAGGCCGCGCAGTCCGACCATGGACAGACAAGGGTACAAACAGGGCATGAGAGCTCAAGCCCTAGCAGGGCTTTGGTATGTTTCACAGCACACGATCGAGCTACCCTGGAGAAGAATATCGAGGCACACGCTTGTGTTGTCGACAATCATCACCTCCAAGATGTGGCCTACACACTCAATTGCCGTCGAACACACTTTACCCATAGGGCCTTCACCATTGCTCTTGAAAATAAAGAAACACCGAGCTTCAGCAAGCAAAGCATGGAATTTGGAGTGGCAGAATCTTCTGGTCCGGTTGCCTTCGTCTTCACGGGACAGGGTGCCCAGTGGGTTGGCATGGGAAGAGATGCTATGCACACTCTATCCACGTTCAAGATAACTATCAGATCCCTGGATCAGTATCTACGAACATTAAAGCCGCCGGTAAGATGGACCATTGAGGAGGCCTTACTCGGAAACATCGACTCAGAACACATTGCCGAGCCGGATATTGCACAGCCATTGTGTACAGCATTCCAGATTGCCATAGTTGATCAGCTAAGGAAGTGGGGAATCACTCCATCTGCTGTTGTGGGGCATTCCTCTGGGGAGATTGCTGCAGCATATGCAGCAGGTATGCTATCAGCCCAGGAAGCTTTTGCGACCTCTTTTTATCGCGGCCAAGCAGTTGCACAAGAAGGCCCTGCAGGCTCGATGCTTGCTGTCGGAGTCGGCATGGACAGGATCGAGCCTTACATTCGTGATACAGACGTTGTTATCGCATGCGAGAACTCCCCCGAGAGCGTGACGCTCAGCGGCTCGGAGAGTTCAACTGAGAAACTTAGATTGCAGCTTGAGGCCTCTGAGGCTTTTGTGAGGGAGTTAAAAACAGGAAGGCCCTACCACTCGCCTGCAATGAAAGCCATTGCTCCTCTTTATGAGCAACTCCTTCGAGAGGCAGATTCTGAAGCTGGATCGTCAGCTCCCTCAGAGCGGCTCTCCCGCGTCCCAATGTTATCTTCTGTTACGGGGAGACAGGTTTACGAGAATGATATTAATTCCAGGTATTGGGTGAAAAATCTCATCAATAGTGTCCGCTTTCATGCAGCCATAACCGAGCTCAAGAGTATAGAAGAACTGAAGCAGTTGAGTCACTTTGTCGAGATTGGACCTCATTCGGCACTTTCTGGACCACTGAAACAAATAATATCGGCTAATAGCCTGACGCAAAGAATCAAATACATTCCGACTATTATCAGAGGATCTGACTCTTGCAACGACTTGCTGCGAGTCGCCGGCCGTTTGTTCCTCTCCGGCTACAGTGTTCGCTGGCATGGTATTATGCACGACTTGTGCAAGAAGCCAGGTCCACGACTACTAGTTGACCTGCCCTCTTACCAATGGAACTATACAAAGGAGTACTGGCGAGAGACACGACTAAGCCAGGAGCAGCGCCAACAATCAGAACCTCGGCATGACCTGTTAGGCAGACGAGTTGCAGGGCTTTCAAAAACGATCTATGTCTGGAAGAATATTTTACGGCTCCGAGATGTGCCGTGGCTGAGAGACCATCGCGTAAGTAAGGCATTAAGATTCTTGCTTCTTATCTAACTTGAGTGGCAGGTTGGAAGCGAGGTCTTGTTGCCCGGTGCAGCGTACATTGCTATAGCAATCGAAGCCTTAAGGCAAATCAGTGATACACTGTTCAGTCCGAGCAATGGCACGTGCTTGAAGGACATTGGATTCCAGCAAGGGCTTGTGATACCAGATACCGACAATGGAATTGAAGTGGTGACCCGATTGTCGCGCCAAAGTAATAAGGGATCCGACTGGTTTACATTCACTGTCGAATCTCTTCTGGACAATAACTGGACCACCCATTGCAGTGGCCATATAACGCCTCGCAAGACGAAGCTCAATGTATCCAGACAGTGCCATCAACAGGTGATTAAGAAACTTCATCAACGTACTCACCCCGACAGATGGTATAAGACATTCGATCGGGTTGGAGTCTTTTATGGACACATTTTTGAGCGCTTAGGAGAAGTCAATTCCAATGGCCGGGATTATACAGCAGCAAGTACCATCGGGTTGGATCAAGAGAGCGGATCAATCGACGGCGAATCAAGATATGTTCTGCATCCAGGGACTATTGATGCCTGTTTCCAGCTGGCCATTATCTCCTTCGAGAAGGGACGATATAATGTCATGCCGTACAGCACAATCCCGATGCGGGTCGAAGAGATAACCATTGCCTCTCCAGAAGAGGCTGAAGGAAATGGATTTGCGTGGACGGATGAGTGCCAGAGCCCCCTTTTCCGGTCACACATACAACTGGTTAGCTCGAACGGGCTCCCGATTTTGGAATGTAAGGGGGTTTGGTTCAAAGAGCACGAGATGAGCTGGTCGGCTCGCTCGACGGCGGTCATTCCGGACCAGAAGTACATGCGATACCGGTGGCAACCTGACATTGACTATGCATTTAAGTTTCTGGGAAAATTGTCCTACAAGTCGCTCGGAGAGGCTGTCGTCGAATTAATTGGCCTGGTTAACCACAAGCGGCCCATACAAAGAGTGTTCGTCTCCGCAGGAGACGATTATAGTTTGATCGAGGCCGTGGCGCGCTGGGTTCCCGTTATTGCGAACTTAACGATTGCTGAGATGTCCGACGGGGATGTGGAAAAGAAATTAGTGTTCACTATACCAGAGCATATATCGGTAATACAGCTCTCACCAAACGTGTCTCAGCTATCTTCAACCCTGGAGGGCGAACATGACCTTGTCGTTTTCAAGGGTCAGTTAAATTCGGACGTTATCCAAGAACTACAGTCCATCCTGACGCCCACCGGTAGAATGCTCCTAATGCAGGATGGAAACACATCGGGAATTAGCAGCTGTCTGGACTGTCCTCTCATGATCTCCAGGCCAGCTTTAGGGCAATCTGTCTCACAGACTAGTCTGCTACTCTCCCAGGAATTAGAACATGGTATTAATCGAGAAATAGAGCCGACAGCGGTCACCTTGGTGGTCAAAGAAAGTTCGAACCAACATCTCGTGAACGAGTGTGTGAAAGCACTACAGGTCTTGAAAATATCTGTCGATGTGGTAAAACTGCACGAGACGAATCATCAATCAAACCAACATACGGTTATTCTTGACGTTGATGGTCGCATTTTGTCGAATCCCTCGGAGACACAATTTGATTTGCTCAAGAAGCTAGTTCTCTCCGAGGAGAATGTGCTTCTCTGGCTCACTTTGGGTACCAGCCAAGGCCGTAGGGCCGAAGGCGGGCTGAGTCTAGGATTCTTGCGGGTTGTCAGATCGGAGAATCCTGGGGCTAAGATCCTATCATTGGACGTCGATCAGGAAGAGCCTCCTCATAGCATCGCAGGCTATGCTAACAGTCCTGGGAGCTGCAGCACCTCGGAGCTCTGGCCACGAGACAGAGTTCTGGCTTCATGAAGGAATTCTACATACCAATCGGTTGATGCCCTGGGCATGCCCCAGTACATCTCCGAAAGATAATGAGATGGTGAAACTACCACCAAACATACCGCTACAGAGCGAGCTTGTGAATAGCGAATTGGTCTTCAGGGAGAGTGAGGAATACATGATTGATGCAGAGGGGGACGAAATATGTCTCCAAGTGGAGATGACAGAATACCAGAGTTGGAGTCCTAACCAACGCACGAAGCAACCGGTCATCGTCGTCGGCCACGCAATCCCCAACCATTGTGAAGATACAGTTGGCCAGATGGTCACGCTCGCCGCACAGAATGGCTATCAAGCCATTGTAAAGGCAAAGGAAGGTGCTTGTTTCGAATGTGAGGGTCTTGACCCAGCGTTCCTTTGTGCTACCCTTCCAACCGTGTGCAAAGTCCTTCTTTGCATGAGCTGGCTAGGAAGAGCCCATAAGGATGATTATATTCTGCTTTTACATATGCCCTTATTATTTGTGCGGTTGGCCATCAATTTCAGTAGGGAATTGAATGCCCGGATCACTGTCGTTGTAGCAACGCAAGAAGAGAGTGACGAACTATATGAAGCCTCGTCGTCCGGTATTCCGATTGTTGTTGTTGAGGATTTGCATACGTCTCATATGTCGCCAGTCCTCGAAGCTACCTCTGGGGAAATTTCACTGGTGATAAGCAATCGGTTCTCGGCAGCTGGCCAAGAGGCATGGAGACACATATCAGCGGCCGGTCGGTTTCTCTTATGCAATGGGGAGATAGAAGGGACACTGGACCCACGACCTTTCAGCAAGGGTGCTTCTTTTCTGCCTATGGGCTATGGATCCCTATGTACACGACCAGAGATGGCGGCTGAAATCCTACAGGATGGGCTGGAGTTTCTGAAGAAGAACAAGGACATCTGGACGTCCCATGTGCCAGTTTACAGCATTGATCAATTGCCCGCGCAGCCTATTAACCACCAGTCGAATCGATCCTCAGATTCAAACGAAAAGTTAAATGCGGCAGTGAAATTCAGATACGGTGAAAGTCCTGCGAAGGTATGTGGAAACTTTCCTCAGCCGCGCGTGACAAAAGCTCTAATAACAGCAGATACTACCTTCGAACCGGCGGATTCAATTCTACCCCGATGCAGCATACCTACTCATTGGAGGGCTCGGCGGCCTTGGAAGCAGTCTGGTCCGCTGGATGGCCGAGCAAGGATGTCGACATTTTGTCTTCGTATCACGCTCAGGCGCAACGCGGCCAAAGGCAGCTCAGACCGTTGAACTTGCCAAAAAGGCTGGCGCATCAGTGCATGTATTTCGGGGTGATGCTGGTAATGAGTCCGATATGAGAGCTATTGTCGCTCAAGTAATGAAAGAACGACCGATTCGTGGTGTGGTGCATGCTGCAATGGTGCTGCAGGTAAAACAAGCCCAGTAGTTATTAACTTCAATCAACCAACGTGAGCTAATCCGCTATTAGGACGGCCTGCTACAAGACATGACAGCCGCACAATACCAAGCTGCCGTTACTCCCAAGATCCGCACAGCACAAATTCTCCATTCCGTCCTTATCAACGCCCCGCTAGACTTTTTCGTCATGACCAGTTCGATCTCGGGTACAATAGGTACACCAGGCCAGACGAACTACAGCGCCGGCAACAGCTTCCTCGACGCATTCGCAGTATACCGTCAGTCCCTCGGCTTACCCGCCTGCTCCATAGCGCTACCCATGCTGCTCGACGTCGGAGTAGTGGCAGAAAACCAAAACGTCGAGGACTCCCTCCAGCGACTAGGCTTTTACGGAATCGACGAGATAGAGACGCTCGAGGGTCTCGAAGTCGCCATGTCCCCGAACAGTCCCACCCATCTCGTGCTAGGGCTTGATCCCTCCCTGCTGCACCGCTCCTCTGGCACGAACCGTCTATTCTGGCACGGTGATGCTCGTCTCCGCGGCGTGCAGCGAGACTTGGACCTTTTGCAGGACTCCCTTGAGAGCTTCGAAACCAGATGGGGATGTTCTTGGTGACGGTGAAGAGCTTGATCATGAGACGTTGATGGCCCGCGTTGGTGACCGGATTGTGAAAAATTGTGCCAGTATGCTGGGTAGGGACACTGGCGAGATCAATTTTAGTAAAGGGACTGTTGCCTCGTATGGACTGGATAGTATGATTGGATCGGAGTTGCAGCAGTGGCTTTTCGGAGAGTTTGGGCTGACGTTGAGTTTTCATGCATTCACTACGCCAGAGATGACGTTTGAGGGGTTGACGAGGCAGGCGGTTGAGTCGCTTGGGGTGGGTGGTGCTGAGTGATATGGAGGTTCCAAAGACTGTTGTGGAAAGTTTGAGGGATCGAAGGGGGTAAAGGAATTCTGATGAACATTTTGTATAGTGAGACGAGAATGCCAGAGTTTTAATCACATATGTAATTCAACTTTTTTTCACGAGAGAAGGACTTTCCTAAATATTAGTGTGAGTATTTTTTCCAAGCGCTTAATCATAACTGTCATAGTCTATCATTTTCATCTCTGCAAGCCATTTCCTGCAGATCCACAGCAACCCTAAGAACAAGAACATCCCAGTCTAAAGAAGAAGCAATAACACACTTTTCCCAACCCAACACCCCAAAGCAAGCCCACAATCTATAATTTACACCCAGATAACAAACAACATACCTAGAAAATGCACCTATAAACTAATCCCTCTTCAACCCCACCCTCCCAGACCTCCTCAACCCCCAAAACCCAACCGCCGTACAAACCACCATCAACCCAAACATGGTCCAAAAACTCGCCCGATATCCCTCCATCAACGCCTTCTTCTCTCCCTCCCCACCCTTTTCCCTCTCCTCACTCACCACCGTCGAAATCACCTGCAACACCGCCATGCCCAACGCACTCCCAAACTGCGCCGAGGTATTAAACACCGCTCCCGCCAACGCCTGCGTATCATCCGGAAACACATTCGTGATGACGATCAACCCCACCGTGAAGAGCGCGTCCGCGCTGATAGGCTGCAGGAGCTGCGCGACGAAGGCATTGGCCCAGTATGTCTGGGTTGGGTCAATCACGGCCATGAGGAGCGGGGAGAGGGCGCAGAAGAAGGAGGTGATAGTTACGATCCAGTAGGCGGGGATGCGGTGCACGAAGAAGCCGATTACGAGGTTGATTAGGACCCCGACGATTAGGCTGGGGAGGATGCGGATGGAGGCGCCGAGGGCGCTGAGGGACTGGATTTCTTGGAAGCTGGTTTGAGGGTGGATTTGTTAGTGGGTTTTCAGGAATGGGTGTGTGGGGTAGGGGGTGGGGGGGACGTACAATAGACTGGCGAAGAGTTCCATGGAGTTGATTACGGCGTTGGAGAGGGCCACTGTGGCGCAGATGCTCGAGAAAGAGGTGTTTTTCCATAATGCGTTGGGGATCAATGCTGGTTTGCCGCGCTTTACTTGGAAGTGCACCCAGGTGATGAAGGTGGGGAGGGCGATGGCGGCGACGCAGAGGATGATGATGCTTTCTGCGGAGCGGATGCGGGAGGGGTTTGCGCTGAGGATGCTGTGTTGGGGTATATGGGTTAGATTGGGGTAGAGTGTTGGCTTTTGAGGTTTTAGGGGATACTCACGCGAGCAAGTAGCAGAGCAAGGCCATGAATGCTGATGCTAGTCCAGCTCCCACCCAGTCGATCTTGGTCCGCACATTGCGGAGGATGTGTCCGTCTCGCTGGACAGGGCTCTTGGGTAACGACCACAGTCCGATGACGGTGAAGAAGAGAGTGATTCCTCCGGCGATGTACCAGCCTGCGCGCCAGCCGATAGTATCGATCAGGATGCCGCCTACTACTAGACCTAATGAGAAGCCCAATGGCTGGCTAAGGCCTATGCAGGAGAATGCCAGGTTGCGACCTTTTCCAGGAGGTAAAAGCTGGGTGACGATGGACACCGATGATGCAAGGTGCATTGAGAGGCCCACACCTTGGAAGGCTCGCATGATGACCAGCTCAATACCAGTTTGCGATAGGCCCTGTCCGAGCATCAATGCACCGCTGGCGAGAGATCCCACCAGTTCCACCCATCGAGGGCCGATGGTGTCGGCAATTGAGCCGGATAGAAGAAGTGTAGAGGCCGTGGCGAGACTGCATACCGAGGAGGGCCAGAGGGAAAGCGAAGGAGGCAGCTGGAGGTCTGCAGTGATGGTGGGGAGTCCGACTACCACCAAGCCATTGATTACGCTGGCTGTGAGAGTGACGGCAAACAGCTGGGTGATCACGACGACTTGTTGTAAGCGCGACTTTCGGTCATCGCGAGGAGCTGGAAGTCTAACTTCCTCGGCGGAGAGGCGTAGTGAGCTGACCTCACTGGTGACAGCAGTGGTGGTCGTCGACATGGCGGTAGTGTGCGAAAAATTTGGAGATGGCGACGCCGAGAAGCATATAATTTTGGAACCCATTGCGGAGTCCCCGCACTGGACCCGCCCTGACTCATTTGCCCTAACTATTCTCTATATGGAGTGCGCCCTCCACCGATTATCATATAAATAATGAAAGTGAATAAATGAAAGTGATCAATTGATTTACAGTGGGTCCTTCCATTCTATCACGTAGCGGCACCACTAAGGATATAGGCAACCTCATTGCTCTTTTCGGCCGGCCCGAACTCCTCAGCTGGGTGACGGTCAGTACTCGTACACCAATAAATTCCAATTCTGAAAAAATCACATAGAAGGGAAATTATCTTCAATCGGACAAGATCGATTGCTAGCCCCGTCTTACCATCTAGATCACAAACTACAATGCAAGCTCTGTCAGGAGTAAATATGCATGACCCATGGGTCTAGTCTGCAGCAAATCAAGGACAATCAGGAGTCAAAAATTCTCCAGCTCAAACGGTTGCGCTCCTAACTCTACGAAGTGAATTCAACTGAGACCGGTTTAATCCTCGGCGACGGCGTGGAAAACTCCAATTAGCTTGCAAGGATGAAGATGGCATATGCATACGCTGAGATACCAACAGAAAGAATTGGCAGTAATGATCACATATAACATTAGGAAGCGAGGTCTAAAACAGACTATCTCACACTGAGGGAATGACTCCAGAAAGCTGAATCTGGGGGTGGGTAGCTGTTAATACATGCAGATGGGATATTTGCACTCTGCTCGACGACGATGGGCCATGTTTATTACCCCTATGTCAGTTCCATAACAACCACCAGGGTCGCCGCTGAATTCAGTTAGGCCGCTAATTGCTCAGAAATGGAGAAGGTGCTCGGGATGGATACGTTGGCCCCAATGAATGATGAGTTTGGATGGCAAATGATCGATAAAGAGGACTCTTTGCTATCAGACTAGCTGGCACGGAATAGATACTCGTCTCCACTAGGGTTGGGAGCAGTGAGCGAAATGTGGGCCGCTAATGTGCCACGGCGTGGATAAACCAATCGTTTTACATCCCCAATGGAAGCCAACACCAAAACCGGCTAAACCCCTACAATACCATACTGCTGGAAATCAAACCATAATTCACACGGGTAACCCAGCAAGTTTAAACAAGGATGATACCCCGCAGACGACTTCTCCCAGGCTATCGGAAGTGGGATAGTGTGCGTTCGCCCCAAGTGGAACGGAAGCCGACATGGACTTTTCGGATTTGCATTCCGGATCGGCAATCCAAGAAGGGCAACCGAAACCCCATCGAAACCTGGCAGCGAAACCATGACACCTTCGAAGGCATGGGCTTCCGTTCTCTGGCGGATCTGGCGGCTAATCGGTTGACCTGTGTACATGGACCACATCGGTAGTACCGACCTGCACAGGTGACCGACTGATGCGTCTGGCTCTAACGTACCGTCCGTGCCACATATCATATATCGCCATTATACCTCATGACAATGACAAAATATCTTGTTGCGCTGCTCATTGTCGTCGGCACTTTTCACATATTAATCAATTAACGCGTTACACGTCTCTATCGCTCGCCTGCTCACCATGGATAGTCAAGACTCGTCTCCCTGGGAGATCTCCTCTGTGGAGCGCTCGAGTCAGCCGGGAACCCCCGAGGAAGTTGATTCTTTGGAGCCCATAGCGATTGTTGGCATGGGCGTGAGGCTGCCGGGGAATATCCACACAGAACAGCAGCTCTGGGAACTCATTACGGAGAAGCGATCCACGCGGGGCGAGATCCCCAAGAGTCGGTTCAACGTGGACGGGTTCTACAGTCCCACAGGCCGGGCTGGATCGATAGCAATGAAACATGGCCATTTTCTGACAGAGACAGATAATTTCAGACATCTGGATACATCTTTCTTCTCGATGGGCCGGAAGGAGGTAGATGACATCGATCCACAGCAACGTATGTTACTTGAAGTCGTATACGAATGCATGCAATCTTCAGGTCAAGTGGGCTGGCGCGGCAGCAAGATCGGCTGCTACGTTGGAGTCTGGGGTGAAGTAAGTTGATAAGGACAAGGTTATGAAGATCAAGAGCTGACGCTGAAACCTACCCGCTGTCAGGATTGGTTGGACCTCCATGCGAAAGATACTCAGGATGCAGGCATGTATCGGATCCCTGGTGGACATGACTTTGCCATCTCGAACCGCATTAGCTACGAATACGACTTGAGAGGCCCCTCCTTCACCATAAAGGCCGGGTGCTCATCGTCTTTGATCGCCTTGCATGACGCTGTTCGAGCCATTCGTGCAGGTGACTGTTCAGGAGCACTTGTTGCAGGCACAAATCTCATTTTCTCACCTACAATGTCCATCGCGATGACGGAGCAAGGGGTGCTATCTCCGGAAGGTTCTTGCAAGACATTTGACGCAGCAGCAAACGGGTACGCCAGGGGCGAAGCCATTAACGCTATCTATATTAAGTCCCTTTCAGATGCAATAAAAGACAACGACAAAATCCGCGCCGTGATCAGAGCTACTGCGACTAATTGTGATGGAAAGACGCCGGGTATGTCAATGCCCAGCTCTGAAGGCCATGAAGCATTGATCCGTCGAGCATATCGAGAGGCGTCGCTTGACCCCACGGAGACCGTGTTTGTCGAAGCACACGGCACAGGCACGCCCGTCGGTGACCCCCTCGAGGCTACGGCAATTGCACGGGTATTTGGAGGGAATAATGACCCCGTATATATTGGAAGTGTCAAGCCGAACCTGGGTCATAGCGAGGGCGCTTCCGGAGTCTCCTCCGTCATTAAGGCCGTGTTGGCATTGGAGAACATGACCATCCCTCCAAATATAAACTTCTCGACTCCGAACCCAAAGGTCCCATTCCAGGAGGCAAACATGGACGTTCCAATTGACCCGATGACGTGGCCATCCGGTAAACCGCTAAGAGTGAGTGTGAATTCATTCGGCATTGGGGGCGCAAATGCACACGCCATCCTCGAGAGTGCTGCTCCGATTTCTCTGCAAGCGACTGTAGCTGCCGCCGCTAGTAGCGAGTATGTGGCCGGAGCCTTGAATGATCGTTATACAAACGGTCATACAAACGATCACACAACTCATCCCAAGGACACGGACGAGCCCTGCAGACTGGTGCGTCCTCCTAGTTCTAGAAGATTCATCCATGTATTCTCAGCAGCACACCCGGCATCTCTAAAAGAAAGCTTAGTCGAGCATGAACGATACATCAGAGAAAATCCTTCTTTGATGGCTGATATATCCTACACTTTGTGCAATCGACGAGAGCACTTGGCGAACCGGGCTTATTGTGTTACCAGTTCCTCAGATGGACCCCTCACGTTCTCGCCTGTTACGAAGACGAAGAGAACATCACCAATAACGATGGTATTCACTGGACAAGGGGCACAATGGGCAGGAATGGCCAAGGAGCTGATGGATGACTACCCTTCCTTTGACAAGGACATAATTTACCTAGGCGCCGTGCTAGCGAAGCTAGAGCACGCCCCATCGTGGGATCTCAGAGGTGAACTGCGCAAACCAGAAGAAGATAGCAACCTACCCAAAGCGGAGTATTCTCAACCCTTAGTGGCGGCTGTTCAGGTGGCTTTGGTGAACCTCCTCCGTCAATGGGGCATCCGGCCTAACGCGGTTGTGGGTCACTCAAGCGGAGAGATTGCAGCGGCATATGCTGCAAAAGCAATCACGGCCGAGGAAGCAATCACAATTGCTTACTACCGCGGGTACGTGACGAAAGGATATCAACGGCCTGGTGGAATGGCTGCTATAGGCCTAGGCCGTGAGCAAGTGACACGATATTTGAGACAGGGGACATTGATAGCCTGTGAGAACAGTCCGCATAGTGTAACATTGTCAGGAGATCTCGAAGCTCTCGAGAAGACCTGTGAAATCATTCGGACTGAGGAACCGGGGTGCTTGGTTCGAAGGCTAAAGGTCGAGATGGCCCAACATTCTCGTATGTGACCTCAGTCCATTTCACCAAGTTTGTTTGAGATTATAATATACTGACTTTTCACCCACAGACCATATGCTTGACATTGGCGACTCCCTCGAGGCCCTACTACGCGATGGCATTGACAGCAAAGCTCCCGTAGTGCCCTTCTTCTCGAGCGTCCGCGCAACGAGGATAAATGGCGCGGGGGGTTTGAACGCAAGCTATTGGCGAGAAAATCTCGAAAGCCCCGTACTTTTTTACGGTGCCGTAAGTCATTTGGTAGAGAGTGAAGCATGTTCTGAGCACACCTTTCTCGAAGTCGGCCCACATGGTGCCTTAAGAGGACCGCTCCGTCAAATATTGCAGGCTGCTAATCGGTCCAACGACAGCTACATCACAGCCATGATCCGTGGCAAGGACTGCACCGAATCCATCCTGCATATGGCTGGGGAGCTTTACTTGAACAATATACCAGTGGATTTCGGACATATTTGCCCGACTGGGTGCCTGCTGACCAATCTTCCATCATACAAATGGCAGCACGATCATGAGTACTGGGCCGAAAGCAGATTGAGCAAAGAGTGGAGGTTCCGCGAGTTCCCTCATCATGAACTATTGGGATCCAGAATACTGGAGGGGAATGATCTGCAGCCCGAATGGCGGAACGTCCTTCGCCTAGAAGATGTACCATGGCTTCGGGATCATCAAGTCATCAACGATATCATATTCCCCTGCGCAGGGTACCTTGGAATGGCAGGCGAGGCCATCCGACAGATTTCATCTGCCCATGAATTTACCTTCCGGGATGTCGTGGTGCACACAGCATTGGTATTGACCGAGTCAAAAGCGATTGAGATGATCACTAGTCTTCGTCCGGTCAGGTTGACAACTACCCTGGACTCTGTCTGGTGGGAGTTTAGTATATTCTCATACAATGAGACTGCCTGGGTTAAACATTGCGTGGGACAGATCAGGACGGGGGCTACACATTCTTCGTCTCCCTTGCCGTGTCCCAGCCATCCCCGTTCAACCGAGAATTTATATCCCATACTGAGGAAAGTTGGTCTCAACTATGGGCCATGCTTCCGCGGATTATCCCACGTCTCTTGTCTGCCGAACAAGAACACAGCCTCTGCCAGGTTGCTGCCAACCGCGGTTTCCGAGTCCACCTACGCTGTCCACCCTACGACCATTGATCACTGCCTGCAGCTATTGTTCCCAGCTAGCTGTGATGGTATTTACCGGCGTGTAACCCGTTTGTGTGTTCCGACAAAAATCGAACAGCTCTACCTCTGCGGCGGCAGGAGTGACAATGATGCAGTCGCGGAGGCCGTTGCCACCATCAGTTCTGCTGGCGTTCTTTCCGGAAGAGTAGTAGCCAAGTCCGATAAGGGAGTTTTCTTGTCCCTAGTCGGAGGGAAGTTTTCTCCCCTAGAGGTGGATACAGCCGATGATCTTGACCCTATTAGCGCAGCCAAGTTACACTGGAAACCAGATGTCGACCTAGCCGACAAGAGGACTTTGATAAAGGCCAGCGATAGCTCGCATATTGATTCTCTTGAGCTCGAGCTCGTCGAGAAGATGGTCCTACTCACACTCATTGAAGTGAACGTTCAGACATCTCATCTAGTCTGTGATATTGAGCATCTTGAAAAATTTCGCTCGTGGATGCATCGGCAAATAAGTCGAGCCTCGAGCAATAGCTACGACTTGGTTCCGAATGCTAAGGATTTGCTATCCCTTGATTCTGATACTAGGCTTGTGTTGATATTCAAGCTGAAACAGTTGTTGTCGCACACTGATGCCGCAAGCGCAGCTGAGCTTATATCCAGGATACTGGATAACTGCTCTGCTATTATGCAGGGAAAGGTGGAGGGGATCGAAGTCCTGCAAGCTCGCGATGGACTGACCAACTACTACAATTTTGTCGAGTCGCGAACTGACTCTGTTGATTTCTTCGCTGTTGCAGGTCATACCAAGCCCACGTTGAGAGTGTTGGAAATCGGGGCTGGCACTGGAGGGGGCACAGCAGTTGTCCTGCGGGGCCTAACCACCTCGTCTACCCCAAGACGTGAGCGTATGTACTCGAAGTACGCTTTTACTGATATCTCTGCTGGGTTCTTTGTCTCAGCACAGGAGAGGTTCAAGGACTACGAAGGGATCGAGTATAAGGTACTCGACATTACAAAGGACCCGGTAGAGCAAGGGTTCCAGGCAGAATCGTACGATTTGATCATCGCAGGCAACGTCTTGCATGCAACTCCCAGTATTAATGCAACTCTGACGAACGTGCGTAAGCTGCTGGCACCTGAGGGCTATCTGTTTCTCCAGGAATTATCGCCCCAGATGCAAATGGTGAACCTGTAAGTGTGCTATGTTCCCAGCTACTCCTATCCCAGTGAAAGCTAATTCAGCGAAAATAGGATTATGGGGATTCTTCCGGGATGGTGGCTGGGCGAAACTGAAGGTAGAGTCAATGAGCCGTTTTTGACACCAGAAGAATGGAACAAGGCATTGAAAATGGCCGGTTTCTCTGGGGTTGAGGCGGCGATCTATGATGGCCCTCGCCCATACCACATCAACGCCAATATTATCTCCCGACCTGTACGGGAGTCCATTCTGGGACCTCGTCGTGTTACTCTTCTTCACAGTGTTGGCAACGTACCTACAACTAACGTTGACCGCCTCCAGAAGTCTCTTATCGATAATGGTTATCAGGTCGACTTGAGAACCCTTCAAGAGGGAGCACCAGCCGATCAAGACATTGTCTCAGTGCTGGAGCTCGAAAGTCCCCTCTTTGAAAGCGTATCTCAAGAAGTTCTATTGGCCTTTCAGGATCTTGTTGCCAGTCGAGGAGATAGCAAAATACTATGGGTCACTCGGCCGGCCCAAAAGGATGTAAGTTCTACTCCGGGGTTCGGTCTGACCCTTGGGCTCGCTCGGACATTGCGATCGGAACAGTTCCTCTCTTTTATGACCCTGGAAGTCGACCGCGTCGATGACCAGGTTTATCCGGCTATCGTGCGTGTATTGGGCAAAATCCAATCGCATGACTCGACGGCATCAATGGATGCAGATTCCGAGTTCATCCTCCGTAACGGAGTGGTTCATGTTGGCCGATATCAGCCAGCCTCGGTGGCACAGGACCTGGAACTTACGGCGTCAAAGCCTGGCGCTGTAAGACTGGCGATTGGTCGTCCAGGCCTGCTACAGTCACTGCAGTGGATTCCTTTCCCAACAACCGAACCTCGCCATGGGGAAGTTGTCGTTGAGCCTCGTTGCGCAGGCCTAAATTTTAGAGTAAGCGCCACCGCTCTTTCCGTGATTTCAATTTCTCGTAATTACTGACTTATCTTGGGATTCTAGGATGTGCTTCTCGCTATGGGGATTGTGGAAGCTAACAACCTTGGCATTGGACTCGAGGGATCGGGCGTGATCACAGACGTAGGTGCCGGAGTGACTGATCTCCAGGTGGGCGATCGAGTCTTTTACCTCGATGATAATTGCTTCTCTACTCGGATCACCATGTCGGCTATGAGATGTGCGAAGATTCCATCTTTTCTCTCATACGAAGAAGCGGCCACGATGCCATGTGTTTACGCTACTGTCATTCATTCGCTTGTGGACATCGGTGGCTTGCAGAGCGGCCAGTCAGTTTTGATACACTCAGCATGTGGAGGTATTGGAATTGCAGCCATCAATGTCTGCCAGAGTATTGGTGGGGTTCAGGTAAGCATTTGTTTTCAATGACATGGCTGGACTCACGTGGCGAATTAATGCCTGACCATTTTGTGCAGGTATATGTAACAGTCGGAAATCAGGATAAAGTCCGATATCTCATGGAGACCTTCAACATTCCGCGTGCCAGCATCTTTAATTCCCGTGACACCTCCTTCCGAGAGGATGTGCTTGCCCACACTAATGGACGCGGCGTCGATCTCGTGCTCAACAGCTTGTCGGGTGAGCTTCTTCATGCATCCTGGGAATGTGTAGCTCCGTACGGCAAGATGCTCGAGATCGGCAAAAGAGACTTTATTGGAAAAGCTAAGTTGAGCATGGACATCTTTGAAGCGAACAGAAGCTTTATCGGTATCGATCTCGCCAGATTCGACGCTGCGAGATGTCACCCGTAAGTCCCATTCTTTCGTGTACCCCAAGGTCTTTTGTGTTTTAGGAACCACTGTCCTGACCCGACCTAATGATCCCAGTCTACTCACTCGTACGGTGCAAATGCTCGAGGCCGGACATATCAAACCCATCGCACCTAGGACAACCTTCTCTGCTGGTCATATTGAAGACAGTTTCCGCTACATGCAGAAAGGGACACACATGGGAAAGATCGTCGTGACTATTCCTGAACGAGGCCGGAAACTGCCAATCGCTCCAATTATCCCAGATTTAACCATGAAGGTCAACGCATCATACCTACTCGTAGGAGGAATGGGCGGTCTGGGCCGAGCAGTAGCAACGTGGTTAGTCGAAGAAGGAGCTAGGCACCTTGTCTTCTTCTCCCGATCAGCCGGAAACTCGGAACAGGACCAACGGTTCATTCAGGAACTAGAATCGCAAGGATGCAGTGTGAGAGCTATTCAAGGGAGCGTCTTGAATGAAAAGGACGTGGCTCGCATCACCCAAGCTGCAGAAAAACCAATTAAGGGGTTCTTCCAAATGTCAATGGTACTCCAAGACAAGCCATTCATGGAAATGAACCTCCAAGACTGGACCACCGCAGTCGGGCCCAAAGTGCAAGGAACGTGGAACCTACACCACGCGATGCCAAGCGACCTAGACTTCTTCTTCGCAACCGGATCCATCAGCGGGTCCTTTGGAACTCCCGGTCAAGCCAACTACGCTGCAGGCAACACATTCCTCAACGCCTTCACACAATACCGGAGAAGTCTGAGTCTGCCCACCTCAATCTTGCACATCGGCCTCATGGACGACGTGGGGTATCTGACTCAGAATGTGGGAAAGGCAGAGGCCCTTCGCGCTGCAGGCGGGTACTTTCTTCGAGAAAAGGACCTCTTGGATTCTCTTCAGTGGGCTATTGTAAAGGCCACCATAAGCAGTGCGACGGCAGACAGCGACGAGGCCCAATTAACCATCGGGCTCCGGTGCGACAAGCGACTCTCTGACCCAACGAACCGAGTCATATGGAGAAAGGATGCTCGCATGGGACTATACCACAACCGAGACACCGAGTCATCGAGCAGCAGCAATGGTAGTAACGGTAGTCAAGCGGATGCGTCAAGGCATTTATGGCATCTGTGGAAGCAGATCCGGAGGTTGTGCTCAAGGACCCTGCGTCACTGGAAGTGGTGACGCGGGAAATGGCTGTCAAAATATACACCTTCATGCTACAGCCATTGGATGACCTGGACGTGAACGTATCGCTAACCGCTTTGGGTGTCGATTCCCTGGTTACAATTGAGATCCGGAACTGGATGAAGAGAAGTTTAGGCGGCATTGAGATCAGCACATTGGAAATCTTGAATGCGGGGTCCATTGCTAGTTTAGGAAGATTGGTGATTGAGGCGTTGAAGAAGAAATTTATCTCTCAGATTACGATGGCAGAAGGGGATGCTTATCTGGAAATGAAGGCCCCGTGAGAGTCGCAGCCATGAAGATCGTGACTCGTGACTGTTATTCCGCGCCTTTCGCTTACTCAAGTCCTGCACTTTGTACCTATTGAGAATCTGCAGGGTTACTCCCTGAAATAGTCCTAACATGAAGTATCACATATGCAGTACCATACGAGTGACGGGAAGAGGAATACAATGGAATATTAAAACGAGATAATAGTCCCACTAAAACATAACATAGTATTAAGAAGTAGTTCAATATGATGGAAGAAGAGATATTGTGGAATGAGGGATGCCCCTCAGCTAAATAAATGCTACGTAAGGCGGACCGGTATGGAAGTGTCCTCCGTGAGTTGACCACGGCTTTGGTCTAACCATACAACTAGCTAGCTTGCTTCCCACTACATAGTCTGAAGCTACTTGGATGCCTACCATGCATGAAGCCACTTTCAAGGCCCAGGTTGAAAATATATCACACGCCATCCTGACTGGCTGCCACCAATAGCTCACGAAAGCGGCTATTTTCCTTTCGAGCCAGGTCTTTCGGCTTCCCTTCCTCAACTAGATGGCTGGAGTCCAGCACAAGGACGCGGTCAAAGTCCAAGACGACCTCCAGACGATGTGAGATCATGATAATGGTATATCCGGCAAATTCCCTATCAATCACCTTCCGCAATGCCCGGTCCGTCTCCATATCAACACTAGAGCTCACTTCATCAAGCAGCAGTATCCCCCCTCCTGACTCTCGAACTCCAGATTTGCGCACGGTTGTGTGCAGACCCATTTCAGCCTGCTGCCGTGAGCGCGCCCGCCTCCTCAAGACCGCACGAGCAATGCTGAACAGTTGCTTCTGACCCTGGCTGAGATTAGTGGGAGTTAGTCCCGCCTGCAGGCCGCCCTGTTTTTCAACCAGGACCACAAGTCAAGATCCTGTAGGATGGACTGACATTCGACCTCCGAGCACAGGCCGAAGGGATCGAGATTTTCTTTGAAAGAGGTACCGTCGGGAAGGAATATCACGTCCTGAGGTATGGCAATGATACGCTGGCGGAGAATTGAGCGATCGACCTGGTGCAACGGTACGCCGTCGATGGTGATGTTCTGCGCCGAAGATGGAAGGGGGTCCAGCAAGCGGAGAAGAAGAAGAAGGATTGATGACTTGCCGCTATATTCATCCCATGTTAGCGTACAATTATCTGAAGTCCATTCGTCTCGGTGCACACCTTCCAGTACGGCCACATATAGCCACTCTTTCTCCCGGCTCAATAGCAAGGTTAAGCTCATGCAAGGCTAGGTTATGCGGCGCGCTCTCAGAAGTCCTGCGCAAAGCATAAGTCAGTTTGTTCAAGAGTACTAAACTATTTTTCATTATTGACCAAGGACCTACTGGTAAGAAGCAGATACTCCATGCACCTCAACTCGACCCTTAGAGGGCCAAGATGGTGATGGTGTAATGTTGTCAGTGTCCATGATCTCGGACGGTGTATTGTCGCGAAATGCCTTGAGCCGACTCACAGCCCCCATGGACGTCTCCAACTTCGCATAGCATTGAACCATCGAGGTCATGAATTGCCCGAGCTGCATGAGTGTGAGCAAGCCCGACCCTGTGAATCCTGTGTTATCATGCAATTGGGTTGAGAGTGCAACGGCGAGAACTGCGAATACTAGAACAAAAATGTTAAGGATAAACAACAACCAGCGCTGTATCATCGCAAGAAGATAGGTAGGGCGTTGCGAAGTGTTCAATAGCTCCTGGTTGATTCGGATCTGCTCATCCGTCCACCCAAATGCGCGTATGGTTGCAATACCCCTACCGGTGTCAAGGAAATGCGCACTGATAGCGAAGAAATCGGCAGATGATCAGTATCCCTTAATTTGAACGGGGTTGGGAGAAAATACGTACTAAAGTGGACTCTTAGCCTCGAGATCCAATAGACGAATTTGGCGTGAGGTGCTCAAATAGAAACGTTGCACCATATAGAGTACCATGGCGACGAAGGGGTATGAAATTATTATGTATGGCGATGTAACCGCCAGGATACATGCCATACCGATGACCACAGCAACATCTGGAGGCGACCGGTCCGACAACCACGGTGAGACTGGCTCGATGGACCCTCATGTTGATATTCTTAACCGTGCTTTCCTGGTCCTCCTGCCACCCGAACTCGCCATCTATGATTTCAAGAATGGGGCCACTTGGCGATGCCGGGCTAGCAGGCTTTGCAAGATCAGGCCTCTTAGTCAATATCCGCAAGTCGAGGTGTGATTTGTCTTCTAGGAAAGCCTGAATACGCCCAAGGCAGGTCAGTGCCGACATGAGCGGTGCCACCGATCGGAAGACATCACTTAACGGGATTGTCAAAAGCGTGAGATAGGCGATGGACGTGAAAATCGTAAGAGTGCTTAGATTAAGCCCGGTAGCAGCTAGAGTTATGGGAGGAGCAAGAAGGTTGGGCAAGAAAGCGAGGAATAACGCCCCGATTTGAAGCCGCCTAAATCCCCTGCCAACGTGTAGTTCGTGAAGGCGCAGTTTTTGAACCGCAGCTTCTACAGGATCGACGAGCCCGGCGATCTTTAGGTGCCTCATAGATGCGATTACCGTTGCTGTGAGCGCCACGCGCTTTTGAATTTGCTCCATCCATGCTCTTTGACGACCTCCTATGAACCGTCTAAGGAAGGTAATAGATACGACCGAGACAACAACAAGACAGATTGGGGCGATGAATGCAACTCCTAGTTCTCGCTGAAGCAACCAGCTGGCGAGTGCCACTTCAACCAGGTTGGCCCAGAACTCATGGAGGTTTAGGAAACCCTTGAGAATCCGTTCAATGTCTGTACTCATGAGAGTGATTGCACTCGACTGTCCAGCCACTTCTAACCGAGATTCTGTCGTCTTCTGAAAGATAGCCGAGCCGAGACAGGCGCGCGCCATGTAGAGACATCGCTCGTGGCAGTACCAATACCAGGATGTGGCTATCGCTATCCCAGAATATATTAAGATTGTAGCACCGATGAGTCCATACCCTAGGTTTTGGGATTCTTCTGGCCTGTCCTCGAGAAAGTGGAGAACTGACTGGATAAGGAAGGCCTGGCAAAAGGTAAACCCCGTCACTGCAAGTCTGGGCCCAATCGGGAGGAGGAGGGGAACTAGTAAGGTCTTTGTTAAGACGATTACCAGGCCATGCTTTTGACCGTGCAACGTCTCTCCTGCGTGCTTCATAAACCGCGCGTGCAGACGTCTCACATCCATTTCCTTATCTAGTGGTAAGAGATCGTCAAGACCAAGCACTTTCATGTAGCCAGCCCAGAACAATTGGTTGAGCCACGTAAACGTGCTGAGACTGTAGAGCCCACTGGTCTCCTCAGGTCCGCATCCTTTGGTATCTTTTGCCAGCCAGCGGGTCTTCTGACGGGATTCTAGGACAACCATGACAGCTTCTATCGAGACCGCTACAGTGAATATCTTGGTGAAGATGGCATCTTGCTTCGATGAAGCAGAGAGCCACAATGTTCGACATTGTGCGATGTGCAGGAGAATGCAAATGCAGAGATACGCGTTCAGTAGGATGGAAGGGCGCGGCGATCGGTAGTGCTCGAGATAGGAAAGGGTGGCGATGCAGGCAGCGGCACCCAGGGTGAGGGCCTCTGACGAGATGAAGAGACTTGACAGCCGAGAGCGACCCAAGTCGATGCTGAAAATCAGAAGGGAAACATGAAGAGCGACGTATGAGACGATGACAGCCTGTGCACATGAGATTTGTGAACATTAGAGAATACGGCAAGCCGGTAGATTGGGCACTGATCAGCTTGATGACAAGAAACCAGCTTCCTGTTACCAGGACACGCTTCGGGGCCAGGTAAGCAAGTCGTGGGATTGAAAGACCTATGAAAATCGACGCAGGAATGATGGAGAAGAACAGCAGTTCAAACTTCAGCGTGAAATCAAAATTATCTCGACATCGATTAACTACCGGCCCGAAAGAGGAGTCGTCAACACACCGCGAGAATTCCATGACACTGAGAGGCTGATTGCCCTGCAATGGCCAAGGCAATGGGACAGGAAGAAAATCGAGAGGTATGCCTCAGAACACAGACCCTGCCTGGTCTCTACAGTCGCTTCTGCGGTGCAGTACTATCCAGCCTGAGGCGATGGAGTGGGAGAGGTTGTACTCCCTACTAGCTCAACATGCGAGACGGTCACCATGACACTCAAAGCGTGGCATGGCATCATAGGCAGCAGTTGTTGCTGCGACCAGGGAGAACAACCGACGATGGATGGGCTGGATGCCGCTTGTTCCGTTGTATCTCGCAAACACGCACTAAGTAGCTAACAAGCATGAACTTACGTAGCCAGCCAGTGGTGTCAACCAGTGATGAGTGTAAGCCGCCTCGTCAACCAACTAGTAAGGAACAACTACTGGGGTACTTGGCTATTCCGTAGATACCGGTTGTGATCGGTCGTTTGACGGGCTGATCTTGAACAGACACCCCCGTTCTGTTTTTGGGGAAAGACCAGTCCAGAAGGAGTGGGGCCAGCATTCGGATCAAAGGAGGAGCCAGGCACCACCTATCATGGCAAGGTAGAAAGGAGAAATTAGTACAAAGCACCATTAGTAGTAATACTGTGTGCGTCGGGTCAAGCCTTCCTGATCCGCAGCTAGCATGCCACCCACCAATAAGGATAATCGTACAAGGCTATCTGTTTCTGAACGGCAGCGCTATCCACCCTTCTGTAAGCACTAGTATGAGACAAGCAGGGGTGGCCAGTCCAAGAAGGGTGTTGTGCGTGCGTAAGCACTTAACCCATCCCGACAATGCATTTACCGCAATCGTCCATTAGCCATGTCGCTACTACCAGCCTGCCAGAGAGGTGACTTTGACAAGGAGCCCATTGGCCGGCCTGGCAGTTACTGTGCGGGTGACCTTCATGCGTTTCTCGTCCAGAAGCTGGTCATCCTCCAATTGGAATTTGAACCGTCCCACTAAGGCAGCCAGCAAGATGGCAAACTCAGCCTTTGCGAAAGATCGCCCGATACAGCTTCGAGGACCATGGAGAAAGGTTAATGTAGCGTAATTGCTTCTGATACCAGCTTCTAACCATCGGTCGGGATTGAACTGCTGCGCGTCTGGGCCCCAGAGATTGGCATCCCGATTGGTAGCCCGAGGAACCAGTATAATTTTGGTTCCCTTTGGGACTGGCTGGCCTAGGATATTCGTATCAATGACCGCTTCGCGAAACGTAAGAGGCACCGGAGCAGCGTAGCGAAGGACCTCATCACACACAGCATTCAAGTAGGTCATTGTATCAATATTGTCGCTGGTGAGGTTGCTCCCAGAGTCCTCGGGGGTAGGGAGTTTCTCGCGTATTTCGCTCCGGAGGGCTGTCTGCACCTCGGGGTGGACACAAAGCAAGTACACAGCCCAGGTTATGGCCGTCGCAGTGGTTTCGTGCCCCGCAGCCAAGAAGGTCATCAGCTGATCAATGTGAAGAGTGTCGCTAAACCCTCCATACGAGAGTGCAACGTCGAGTATATCTCGATGCTGTGAGGTGTGATATTTGCGTTGATGCTTGGATTTCTGGCGGATCAGGTCGGCGCACTCTCCGCGGATTCTCTGGACCGCACAACGGATCTCCTCGTTGCGCCTCAGTGGTAGCCAATCAACCATCCAATTGGGTAGAAGGAGCCGTAACACAGCCAGCATAATATCTTGCTTGGAAGGCTGAAAGACTAATGCATAAGCCCGGACCAGGTCCGCGTTGGGGTTGTGAACTGCTCCGAAATCTCGGCCCATACCTGCGATCCCAATCATGTCAAGAGTTGCTCGATGGGACCACTCCGCAATATCAAGAACGCCAGTATTCACAATGGAGCTCTCACGCGGACCGTAGGTATTCGGCCCTTCTTTGCAAGACAGCTGGTCGGTCATGGCAGTGACCACCTCGCATGATTTATCCCAGAACACCCCATACAAGTTTTTGATGTGACGAAAAGAGAAAGCGGGCGCAAGGATCTTCCTTTGGGCTCGATGCTCGTCTCCTTCCGCCAACAAGAGCCCCACACCGAGTACCTTTTTCAGTTCGTTAGCAAGCCATTTGGGCTTCTTGAAGTCGTAGCATTTGGTCGTCAGAACCTCCGCTAGTGCCTCGGGCGAAGTCACCAACAGCCGGTCGGAGTTGAGTAAGGTCCTGTACCGTATCAAACCATTGTTCGGAATGCTATTGACCCTGCACAACTTGTTAGAGATTAGCACAAACCAGGATGCAGCTAGAAAGTGCGGGGTGGGAAGAGGACGAAGGGGTTATATTACCAGTCACATTGAGGTATTCCGCGGGGCTCGGTATAAACTCGGAGACGTTGGTTCATTCCCCAGCCCCCGTTGTGAGGCGATGGTAGATATCGTAGCGGAGAAAAGAAATTGGGCCACACAAGCCGCCTCCATGTCACCCAGGTAAGCAGCAAGAGCAGCGGAATTTGGAACCATATAGTGCCTAAGGAGATTTTTGGGGAGTCATATGAAAGGATGGCTGTAAGAAGCGTAGCTCCTCCCGATACGATTCCGGACATGGTCTGCTTGGGTGACCACACTAACTCACGAAGAGAGATATTCTTCTATCGGGCGGTTGGATAATGAGAGAGAAACGACGCGTCGTTCGGTGTTGTGTCCTCGGTACAAAAGTGCCTTGGAGAGGACGGAGGTATTCCCGCTCCGTAGCGCCGATCCCTCCGTCGCTTGCATCGCTAGTACTATAAGTAGTAGTACTTCTACTCTCTATGCGCGCCGGGATTGCAACAGGATGGGTTGGCTCATATTATCATGAGCAGAGTTAGTTAAAGCTGTTAAACATGCAGTGCCCAAGGCCAGTCATCAATTTTGGGATAATATGGAAGACTACCAGCCAGTAGTACACCGGCCAGGTCCTTATAGCTAGGATAAATGGAGCACGCTGTCAACATGCAGACGTATGCATTCAGTGTTGAAATAATAACAACTGGGTACTTATAATACGACATGCATGGGGACTGACGTTTGTTGGCCTATGATATTAGCCTGCAAGACCAAGAACTTCGTACAATAAGTTTGTATTCCACTAGGCTTCAGGGATGCCAGGCGCGGTAAATACTTAGTGGTAAGCTTATCACAAGGCCAGCCACACTGTGATGGAGTTACCTGCATTGCATACAATGATACGCGCATCGCTGGGGCTTCTCCAGCAAGTATAGATCAATCGCAAGCCGTTGAGTGGAATTGGAAGGCATCCTCTGGTGGCTACATAATGCATACCAACTACTTAGCCCCGCAGAACTATATCTCTGAGGCGATTCAGTGACAGAATATTGAATCAGATCCTCAACTCAATACCACCCGAGCAGTTTCTTGGTGCTAATGTCAGTCCTAGGAGAAGAAAAAGAGCCAACTGGCTCGGGCAAGGAAGTGTTTTCCTGCCAAGTGGGTGGTGTTGGGTTGGGGGCGCCGCGGTTGTACTCTTTTCCTTCCCATTTTGGGGTCAATCAACGCGATTAGTTCTAGACAGTTCCAAGTATGGGTAGGGATAGTGGACCGGCGATAATACCTGCAAGTAAGAAGAGCAAGGAATAGAGAATCAGAGCGCTAGTGAAGCCGGGCGGCGTGAACCCTGACAGTTGCCAGTCTAAAAGGCATCCTTGCCTTGGCCGATGCCACCCCTGATAGTTGCACTCAAGCAATACTGAGAGACTTGGCCGGTGATCTCTTTAAAGTCGAGATACAAGATAAATATGTCTCCATCTTGGATCTTCTGGAATGTTTCCCGACGATTAATCCTTCCATTGGGCTCTTTCTATCTCTTCTCACACCTATGCGGCCACGGGCCTATTCCTTCTCGTCCTCTCCAAACGAAAAGCCAGGATATGGAACGCTAACCTATACTGTCGTGGGATCCGCTGTACATGGTGGGGAAGCTAGCGCAGTACAGGGAATCGCATCGAATTACTTAGCCTCTTTACGCCATCATGCGACCCTCTACATAGCACTACACCCTTGTACAGCGGACTTTCGTCTCCCTTCTGATAACTCTAGACCCTTGGTCATGGTAGCTGCTGGGACAGGCTTAGCTCCCTTCAGGGGATTCATCCAGGAGCGCAGGTTCCGACAATTGGCGGGCAAGAAGGTTGGTCCTGCGCTGCTCTTCTATGGATGTCGCGGAAGAGATCTAGATGATATGTATCGAGACGAGATGGATGGGTATGAAAAGGAGGGTGTGGTCAGTATCCATCGAGCGTATAGTCGTGTAAGGGGTGCAGATTTCAGGTACATCGACTCTGCGATAGCGAAATTTCTCGATCACGTGGTTTCACTATGGGCCAGTGGCGGCGTTGTTAGGGTCTGTGGAGGCAAGAAGATGTCGAACTCGGTCTTCGAAGTGTTAGGTCCTGCGTTGCTGGAACGGGATAGGCTCGATGGCAAGACTGACGTAACGGATGTGGCAGAGTGGAAGCGCAACCTTCCGCGCGGGAGATATGTTGAGGAGATATTTCTGTAGATAGACGCATTTCTGTCATGCCGTAGAGTGATTGTTTAGTATCTGTTCTGCTTGGTAACGTGCGTTCATGCTATAAATTGAAGGATACGGAGAGAAGTTCGAACAGTCGGTACAAGGATTGTATTCGTAGGGACAATAACAAGACTACTTGTCTTGGAATACAGCACATGGGCGTTTCTCAACCTAATTCCATCGAATTACGCCTACCGATGCTCCCCTCACCACTCCCATATGTACATCATCGTTTCACATGCTGATTTGACACGTCTGTTTGAATACATAACTCATTTCACATCATCACGATTTCTTCTCTGGTGGAAGGCCAGAAGACCCCGCCCGTCTCAGTCACATCTGTAGAAGCTCAGGGCTGTCCCCAGATCTCATCGGCGATCTGTCTGGTCAGACCCAGCTTCTTCTTCTCATCCTCCAAGCTGAGGGGGTATCCGCTCTCGTGAGTACTGAAACCGCACTGAGGGCTGACGCAGATACGCTTCAGGGCCTCCTCACGAGTCTCACCACTACCGGCGCTGACGAAGTCGGCGGCCTTGTAGATCCGCTCCTTCATCGCCTCCTTGTCCTCCAGCTCGCGAAGCTTGGTGCTGATGACACCGACAACAACGTTCTTGTTCTTGGGCAAGAACTTGAGGGGCTCAAAGCCACCTGCACGCTCGGTGTCATACTCAAGGTAGAATGTGTTCACGTTCAGGTTCTCGAATAGCTTCTTGGCGATGATGTCATAGGATCCCTCCGCGAAGTGTCTGCCTCCGATGAAGTTACCACGGCAAAGGTGAATACCCGTGTGCATGTCAGCAGGAATCTTGCTCAGAGAGTCGTTGTACAGCTTGATGTAGGCATCAAGCAGATCCTCAACGGTGCCAATGTTATCCTTGTCTTCTTCCCAGCCCTGGCGGAAGGCCTTGGAGCAGAAGTACGCCATGCCCGGGTCATCGAACTGGACGTTTCTCAGACCAGCCTTGTACAGGGCATCAAGCTCAGCCTGGTACACCTTTGCGACGTCCTGGAAGTACTCCTCGTCGTTGGCATAGGCCTCGGGAGTGTAAGCCTTACCCTGCTTGTAGCGCATGTGGAACCAGGCGGGAGTGATCATGGTCAGCTTGATGGTGTGCCATTCACTCTCAGGCAAGGCCTGTTGAACCAGCTTCAGTTCATGTAAGTTTGACACCGACTTCTCAGGGTTCCAGGAAAGCTTGGTTCCAGCGATCACCGAGTCACCGGGCATGACCTTGCGGTCCTTCTCAATCAGACTAACCACGTCGGGGTGGTAGAGTCTGAACATGGAGGCTTCAGCATCCTGAAGACGGATTGTGCCTGCCTCAACAGTAAGTCATATGCTCCCAACAATGCACCGGAAGTAAAATCAGAACGATGAACCATACCCTCGAACTCATCCCACATCTGTCCCCAGAAACGAGTCCGGTTAAATTCACCAGAAGTAACAGCCTTGTAACCCAGATCCCGCTGGAGCTTAACCACATCACGAACGGTCTCTTTCTCAACGGCGTGCAGACCAGCAGCCTCCTCAGAGATGCCGGTATCGCGAATCTTCTCGCGCACGGCAAGCAGGCTCTCGGGACGGAGCAAGGAACCCATATGTTCGGCCCGGAAGGGCGGGGCACTATGCAGCTGGTTGGCCATTGCGTCTAAGTTTTGTTTTCTTCAAATATGTCCAAATTACTTCTGGAAATGAGTATGAAAATTTTTGGCTGGCAGGAGTTCGAGGCTTTTGAGACCAGAAGGCGGGGCGCCCCGGCAATGCAAATTGCCGGCGGGGTGCATGGCGGGGATCCGATCGCATACAACTGACTCAATGCCGCATTGCCGATTGGAAGGGGTGGGCCGCGTGTGACTAAGTCTGGCTTCTTCATTGGCTGGATATCATTCCGGTGCGAGCTTATCTCCTATTTCGGATTCATCAATCATTGCTATGACTGTACAGAATGTTCTTATACATGGAAACCGTCATAGCTTGAGTGGTTGAAGAGTTTGAGCTTAAAGCTTGGCTTAGGAGCATATCTGATGCTCGGTCCCTTCGTCTCCCGCCTCAAACCCTCCATATAGAGCCCTCGCCTCACTCTGTCTTTAACTCCGACCTGACACCCACTGCTGAACCTTTTCCCGCAAAGAAAGAACGAGAAGCCCATGGTGCAGGCCAAGCAAATGAGTACTCAATGGCCTCAACATCTTCCCCAGACACCAAGTGATCAATGACCGCGATGAATATGTAGGCTCCAACTCCGGTGCAGATGTGCCACCTGTTTAATATCCATAATTAGCTCGGAGTTTTAGAAGAATCAGGACGGATAAAGCAAAATGCTACACACCATCCATGTAGTTCCAGTAGAAACGCCCACGGTAGACCAATAGCTGCCCGCGAGCTTCTCAACCATCCACATACCCACCCATCAACTAGCCAGACGAGGAATCCCAGCTCAAAGATAGCTTTTGCAGTCAGTGTTCTGAAGACATGGGAAGGATAGGTGGGCACTTCGACTTACCAGCTCCAAATCTCACCATACCCCAGATCTGCCGCCGAGCGAGAGAATTCTTTGGCGTACGGGTAGTGATTAGCTGCATCGTACGGACTCCAATGATCGTCACGCTGACTACGAAAGTGACGGAATGTAAGATGAGCTCGTCTGTCAGTACGTGGACTACAACGAGTCCCAGAAGAGCTGCGCTCAGCAGAATTGCCAAAATAGTCGAGGTTCTGCGACTGGTGTTCACGGTCATGACGCGGTGGAGCACCGGGGTTGTGGCGAGGAGCATGGATACATCGTCCACTGTTTTAGCTTGTTTCAGCAGCGATCCCATTCCAAAAGTGAAGCAGAAAATCGATACTTACTCATCTGGGTATGGTACTTGAGGTTCATGTGGAAAGCTGCAGAGGCGATACCCACACCCATCAAGCCCCAGTAGGGAAGGGCGCGGAAGACATCCTTATTCGATTGTCGATGCAGATGGCGAATTCCGTATATTGCGTAGAATACTGGGTTGTTTATTAGATTCATTTGTAGAAGCGGCGGTTCGCGACATACTGTACACGAGATTGGTCAGGGTGTTGATAAACTCGGCAATGTATCTGGTGACCACGTAGTCCTGTGTTGTTCCTGTTAAAAGCTCTGACGTATAAATTTTCTTTGCTTTGAAATACAGCGATTTACCTCCTCGCAGAAACTTTGAAACGTTAGCTTGCACTTGGTTCATGACATTTATACTAACTTGGCATGCGAAGTAGATGGGCCCCAAAAGGGACTTTCCGAGGCCATAGTAAGGAACTTTTGGCAAGTATAGTAATTAGGAAGCAACAAATATCGGAGGTTGGGGGTTATGGTTTATACGTGATTTCAATTCATTTCTAAGGGTTAGGCATCAACAAAGTGGCTTATGTGTCCTGCAAGCTGTCAGCTACAATCCTTGTTCGAAGGATTATGGACCCGCCGTAGGAGCCGGATAGCGCTTCGATGAGTCGGGCCACTTGCTATTCCAGCCTCAGTCTCATTGCTATTTCGATTGCGCTATTGTGGCTCTTGCTAAATTCTCGCTCAATAGAAATACAGGGACTTTTGATAGCACATGTATTCCATGTTTGATCAAAATCCTGCCATCTACACATCACGCTTTCAAAATAAACAGTGGCTTTACTGTAACTAGCCTTGAGAGGGATTAGTAGATTAATCGATGAATAGACTAGTGAGCCTGTCTTACGTGAGCTGAGTGGTCCCTTCATACGCTCCGCCGACGGCCCGACAAAACGTAGATATGCAATGCAGCAGGTAATAGTAATTGTGGGATATTCAGAGAAGTGAGCAGCTTCGAGTCGACAGGTGGCAAAACCGATGGAGATCTTGGTATCCTTCACTTTTAGTGACGATACTTTTTACCCTTTCATCGGAAAATTCCAGATATCTACATGATTCGAACTAATTGTGTTTGAACTAATTACTCGCAGGTATGTTAAATGCTCATTCCTGGTACTGAAAAGAAAAATAGGTGGTGCGTTCCATATACATATTAGGTCCTTGTGTAATGTGGAAGTTACCTATATCCCCCTGGGACAAAGAGACAGAATGTGAGTAATACTTGATCCAACGGTCGTAGCGAAATAAGAGTCAGCTCCCATACAACAGTATATTTAATGTCGTTTACTCCACTTGCATTCCCTCACATAGAAAAGTTCATTTTCCTAACTCTACCTGAGCACAATCTATAGGCCTTTAAATGCTAGGCTTTTGTTGAGCCAGCAAGTCTCGATTCCACCTGACGCCACTATCACTCATAACCATGAAGCCACTTCCCAGCGAGATAATCAGTATTATCGTTCATTTTTTGCGCGAAATGATTAATGCAGACGAAGGTCATTCAAACTGGGACCCTAATCCAGACCCCTTGTGGGGTCTGATACGAGTTTGGGAACCATCGAACCTTGCCCAATACTCTGTTATTTCCCGTCAATAGCAGGGGAGTGTGGAACCCTTTATCTGGAAAAGGATTTGCCTCCTGGGTCCCATGCAGGTGTTCCATCTTTTCAGATATACTACAGGCGATGACTACCGGTGTGCCAGGGTAGGTTATATTCGACATTTTTCCTGGCAACCGTGTATTGTCTTACCCGATAAGACTGATCCTATATTTCACACAAACTCCAATCATCCAATATTTGAATGGTATGATAATCAGTACCACAATGAGCTCCGCCACTTGTTTCTGGTATTGCATATTTGGGGAAAGCGAAATCCAGGTCTCGAGCTGGTCCTCTACCACCGTAGTCCTGAATATAAGGCTTTCAGACCCAGTATCCCACAAGATTCATCGTTGAGGGAGACTATGTTCAGTCATTCCAAGGCACTTCCAGCTTGTCTAACAGAAAAGCACCTTGAAGACTTTCCTAGTCCTTCATGCGTCAGATCGATTGATTTGCTAGGGACGTGGGCAGATGCTGTATTGCTGTCATCCTTTCGGCTGATATTTAAATATCTCCCCAATGTGAGGCATGGATCAGTGCATGATTTGATATACATATCTGATTATCTAGGTGAAATTCGTCTCTTGCTAAGACAAGGTATGACCTTACTTTCTTCTATTAGCTTTAGAGATTGCTGTGAGCTGACCGACGTGCTTTTGCACTTAGAAATGATTGATTTCATTCACCATGTACCACAATCTGTGGAGAGCCTTGATCTTTCCGTAGAAGGCGGCCGAGAATGGTCCCGTCGGCTACATGAAGACGAAGTATACCGCCGTCGACTGACCTACTTGGATCATAATGGGTTGGATCTTCTGTCAATCGGACTACATACCTTGAGCATGCGGCTACGGGCACTCACCTTGAGTCATATGCGGATCAGCAAGGCTCTTTTCTGGCCATCAGCGGAAAGCAGCACCAATGCTTCATATTGGCCGAATCTCGAACAGCTTCAAGTACTCAATATGCCTCCATACGACATAGATGGTAAGTATCTCTGCGCTTGGTCTCAATCTTTCAAACTGCAATATCATTCCTTTTTCGAACTAGCTATATACTTTCATCATGTGTTTTGGCTAACTCAACAAGCACAGGGTCGCCGTTACTTTGTCTTGATCCTCCGCTGACACGAGAAGATCTATTGTTGGCAATAGACGGTTTTTCCAACCGGCGGGAATACATAAAAAGCGCCAACATGAGTGTACTCTATCAGGCCATAGGCCAGGCAGCGCGGCAAATGCCGCGACTAGATAGTGTGTGTCTCGCTTCTTAACTTTCGTACGGGAGAAGAGAGTCGTGAGTCTTTGAAATTCAGCCGGGATAAGAACGCCAGGACTGCCCGTTTAAGGATCAACACGCAGTGGGAATATAGGCTTGGGGAGGAGGTGATCTCCGCTTGGGGGTTGGAGGGAGATGTGGCTGAGGAGTTTCGTCGTACTATGGATGTCACCTTGCCGTGGTTTGTGGAACCACGGGAGGATCAGTGAGCCAAAATATTCATTTCAGCTTCTCAAAACAAGTGGGTGATTTATGTGGGGAAGTATCTGAGTGGAAAGAAGCTGCCATATTATGTTGAACTGATGGATGCGTATCTCGGGTGTTCTCTTGCATTGACGAACAGATTGATACACGACTGATAATATTCTTGCAACGATAGCCACTTCGTCACTCTTTACTGCATAATCCAAGTAACCTCAATTCCCAGTATTCTCGGTACTTTCAGTCCATGGAAGACGAGTGTGATTCCTGTGTCTTTCAGAGGATAAGGTTGGCGGTTAGAGCCGCTTTCACGCCTGCCGTAATTTCCAGGCACTATTCTAGGCTTCCCATATTCCCTCGCATCCTTAATCCGCGTGACAGTCGTTCTGCACTTGACTTCCCACAAATATCTACATCTTCTCTAGTGTCACCCGCAGCTTGCAGGCGTCACTGCAGGCCAAGCGGGCACCTCGTATTTCGCTGGCTAGCTAGCTGACAACGCATACTATTCATCCAATCATGATACTCGTTTTTGTCCCCTCATCCTGCAACGGCATTAGCTCTTCCCACTATGAAACAGACCGAGCCCCATCAGCTTGACCTCTGCAGAGCCTCGCGCGGGGTACAAATCTCCCGCAAGAACGCGATCTTCCATCATGATAGCTTCACTCACGATAATTCTTCCCTTAGTATCACACATTTACTCTCGCAGAATCCTAAACCGATTCAATAAGCCAAATGGTCAAACCACAAAATGACACTCCACCCCCGCCCAAGAAACCGTCGCCGGTGAAGGTAAAGGCCAAGCTGGGCACAACCACCAAGGCCAAGAAACCGCCAACTACGAAACCTACAAAGCCGAAGCCAATCCAGGGAAAGTCCAATGGCGCAGCAGCAGCAAAACCAAAGCCTGCCGTGGTCGAGCCTGTACGAAATTTATGGGAAGAAGCCTGGACGTCCGTCGATGTGGGCGACGCGAATAGGAAGCGTCTGACTCAAAAGTGGCAAAATAGGAACATCAATCGGATAGGAAAATTGCCCAAGGAATATGTAGAGGGTGTTATGGAACTGACTAAAAGCAAACTACGCCTTCATCAGGAGCGATGGCCGTCAAAATCGAAGGGGAACGCGTATGATCGTGCAAGTTCTATCTTGAAATCGATCATGACGGTTCAAGCGCTCGGCGATGTGGTCGTCAAATTCGACCCGACAGGCTATGCGTCTATCGCATGGGCTGTGGTTTCCTTCGGTCTGACGGTTTGTGACTATTGAACTGATATCTCAAAAGATTGATGTATGGCTAAAGCTTTGCAGCTTATCCAAAATAACCAGGAACGGATGCAGCGCATCTGGGAAGCCTCCGAATACCTTGCCGTACTCCTGGCTCGATACTCTCGCATCGAAGCTCATTATCACCGAGTCCAGGTTGCCAACGCGACCGAATTAGGGAACGCCATCGTGAATGTGTATATATGTGTCCTACAGTATGCCGCAAAAGTGAAGCAGTCGGTCACATCGAAAAGATTGGGTATTTAAGGATATATCTCGCATCATCAAAAATGCCAAGACTAATCATATCCTGGTCAGATCGGATTATTCAAAGTTTCAAATCGCTAACTCAGGAGCCGCTGAAAGACTTGCAGAACGCCATTCAGGGAAGCGACGAGATGGTGGAAAATTGGTTTCGGCAACTGATGGCTGAGCAGCAGCAATCCATGTTCGAAGTAAGTCGATTACTGATTTCTCATGGGAGTTGCTCTTTGTGCTGACATGTTAATAGCCCAAGAGGAGGAGATGAAGCAAGTCAAGAAGATCCAGACTATTCTAGGGGACGTTTCCAAGAGTACATCTCTGATCATGAAGGGGATTGTGAAGATTGATAAGACGCTTTCAGGTACGTCACGGTGTCTGTTTTCTGGTGACAAGAACCATAAGCTGAGATTTTGAAGCGGAAATTCAAACACAGCTACTTGAATGGCTATTCCCCAGCAATCTAGCTGCGGCCAGCGATGGCAAGCATAGAAGGCTAAGGTCTGCCATTGTATCCAGCGATGCTGCTGAGGTAGCAGGGAGGTGGTTGCTTGAGCGTCGAGAATATACAAGCTGGGTGGATAATCCACAATCCTTACTTTGGCTGCATGGTGAATGTATGGAACCTCAAAAAGCCAGAAATAATATCGCATACACTAACAGGATAGATAGCTGGATGTGGAAAGTCGTCGTTATGGTATGCGAAAACGCCAGCCCAGTGCCCTCTGATTACTTCTAAGCCCGCTAATTCCCTACAGTTCGACCATCATCAACCAACTCGAAACGTTGTTCAAGAAAGACAAAAACAGGGTACTATTGCGGTGGTACTTTCGTTTCGATGAGACAGACACTACATGCATCGACTTGTTGTTGCGGTTTGTCTTACGACAGCTGGGAAGTAGCCTTGGGGGCTTCCCAGAAGAGATATCTAGTGCCTTAGTCGAGGACCGGAAGTTCGCACGCTATCCAGACACCAAGACACTCATCGAGTACCTGCACAGCATCTTGTCAGTGCTTGAGCTACAGAAGGACGTCTTCATAGTCCTAGATGGTCTTGACGAGGTTCCGAAAGAATCACAAGATCGAGAACGTCACAAACTTCTCGAACTCATCAAACGATTGGCTCAGTCGGGACTTTCGAATCTACACATTCTCCTGGTCAGCAAGAATGAAGAAGATATACGAGAATGCCTTCGCGGACATTTGAAAGACATACTTGTGGAAACTGACGTCGCGGAAGGGCTCGAAATTGATATTCGCAATTATATTGACACGACAATGCAGCACGGTGATGGCATCAGCGATCTCCCTGTTTCCCTAAAGACACGTATTCGGACACGACTTACAGAAGGAGCTAAAAAGTACAGTCACACCAGTCCACCACAATTACTATCCATGCTATGGCTAACAAATAGTAGGAACTTTCTCTGGGCTACATCGTTGGTTCAGGAAATACGCGAGTGTCGAAAGGACCCTAAGAAAATTGAGGCAAAACTGAACGAAGTTCCGATCAGCATGGTAGCCATTTATGAGAAGCATTTGAGCTCTGTGAACGCAATTGATGGAAAGTTTTTAAGATCGATGTTCATATGGCTTCTGAGACAACTACGGCCGCTTACTCAAGAGGAAATTGCCTCTGCAGTTGGCCTTCATGACGCTGATGCAGTTTACGAGATCTGTACAGGCCGGTGGGTGACCCAGTCTACGCAAACCTTAACCATTAATCGCAAGAGCAAGAAGTGCGACAGAGTTCTTCGGTTCGCCCATCTCTCTGCGAAAGAGTATCTGGAGACACAGGTTCGCCTAGGTCAACACAGCCTTTTATCGCAGTTCCTTTGTTCCGAGGAACAGGCTCATTTCGAAATTACCCAACGCTGTCTTGATGTCCTTTTGCAATCGCTGAAAGCTGGGGACACAGCCAGTGAGAACAGATTCGAACTGACCCTCAGAAGTTATGCTGCCGAGTACTGGTTTCAACATTACCAGTTATTCGAGAAAGCTGACGGTATGGCCAATGAGCGTGCCTTGCTTCAAGGGAGGATCCGTGGGCTATTCCGGTCTGAACAATTCGATAATTGGCTGGACTGGCTTGAGCCTGGAGATCAATCTATGACCGGCAAGGATGGGGCCCAAGCCGAGAGTCGAAGACAAAGGCGTGGCTCTCGGATACACTACGCACTTAAGCTCAATCTCGGGCCGGTCGTCGAGGAATTGATTCAAACTGATCCTAAGGACTTGAACACACGCAATGCTGACGGCGAGACAATACTACAAGTGGCAGTTTATCGTGGCTATAAGCAGATCGTCGCGGACTTATTGAAGCATGTCAACGTGAACGCCGAGAAAGGTCCCCATGGAACCGCACTATATGTGGCTTCCGCTCAAGGACATCATTCGATAACTGAGATGCTACTTAACTCCAAAGCGAAAGTAACCGGAACTGAAGATGGAACGTTAGGCAATCCTCTCCATGTAGCAGCATACTATGGAAATAATTCTATTGTCAGCCTGCTGCTTGTAGGTGGGCCAAAGGCGGGAAACTGTTCCGGGGGAATCGCAGTCGACCATATAGCAGGATTCTTTGGAACCGCCCTAGTGGCAGCGTCAGCAGCTGGTCAAGAGTCAACAGTGCAAATGCTGCTTGAGCATGGTGCCAGTCCCAATAAGGTTGTTGGTAGACTCGGAACAGCGCTCCAGGCTGCGTGGAACGCAAGACCTGTCTCCAAAAGTATTATTGCAGCTCTCAAAGCGGGCGGAGCAAAGGACAAACACCAAATTCAGAGGGCCTGGACTACAGCATACAGGAGAATGGAGAAGATTGACAGTTCTACTGTGGCGGCCTATAGGAAGTTGTTCCTGCCACAGAAGTCCATCACAAAGGAGCTTTCGCAGCGCCAGAAGCTGCTAGCTACCGCATTGGACAAATGGAGACGGCTTCCCTGTCTCTGGAATCTGGAGAATTGCCAGGCCAATCTGGCTGCAGATTACCAATTTTCTGTTCCATTTGTTGAACAACTGGAAGACATCAAGAGATACATAAGCGGAATTCGTATGGACAAACATGAACTAGAAAGTGAAGACTTCCTGTACAAGGCGTTGTTCTGGGCTGGGCTCAACTACATCATTGAGGTAGGTGAACATTCCTATTTCTGCTTCAATTATCTACTAACTCATAGCAGAACATAGGAACATTGATATTTGGATGTATGAGAAATCTTCTGGAGGAGTCGCAATCGCCACAGAAGTCCTCCGTCAATGAGTCTCCTCAGATACCTCAAGCTTTCCTCGTTGGCCTGCCAAAGAATGCAACCAAAGGGCTGAGTTCTTCAGATCTCAGTGATCTTGTTGCCATGGACCTTGATGTGCAGCGCGGAAGCTATGACGATGAGAAACTACCTGAATCGAAATCTGGATCACAGCGCGTTGGTCTAAGGCCTGAGTATCTGGCGACAGCTGATCTTCTTTCCCTTGTCAAGGATCTGATTCAGCTCGGCAGCAAGTGCACACAGTATCACAGACTTATAAATGATGGCCGCGAAGTACCATATCTCACCAGAGTCAAAGTGGAAGACCTCACGTTTGAAGTTTACTCCGCTGTGATGCGCCTTGCCACGATTAAAAATTGGAACCATGAATCTATTGTACTTCAACGGACCGTCAGATATTTGAGCACAATACGCGTTCCACGTATTAGCGATATTGGCTCTGCTTGCTGGAAGGACCTGACGTTGGTTGAGATGTCCAGCAGAGAGACCAGTCACAAGAACGACATATTATCAGATGTTGCTAAGCAACTGCAAAATTCCGTTTATACCAATGCGCAATCAAGCCTATCAGGCCAGCTCGATTCAATGCACACTCGCTTGGTCAATGACGTGCAAGTGAGCCTCTCTGCACTTATCAGGGATGAAATAAGAAATGCAGTGGCACAATCTCTGCCTACTCGAGTGCAAGAGTCAACTGGTCGTTCGCAATCGGGAAGACTCCCTCATATTATATCGGCCGAACCTCGGTCGTAAGGCAGCAAGACTTGGACAGCGACATCTACCAGTCAGAGCCTATCAACTATTTAAGACAGACGACCAATCCTCCTTTTGCATCCACTCCTCCAAGTTGGTCATTGGACACTCAATTCCAGCCTGTAAATATCAGCTGTGGATTCTTTAACAAATCATCACATGGTACTCACATTGCGTATGTGCTCTGCCGTCAACAGTTCCTTGTCACCGCCGTCATACCCCGGATCTGTCGAATAAGTAAACATATCGCCCACCTCTCGCCCAAACTCCGGATCAGGAGTCTGCTCAATCAGTTCCTCAAGTGTAATTTGCCGATAAGATGCTGGAACCGAATTCACTCTCCCCCAGATTCTCATATACTCTGCCCAGCTACAATACGACCCACAAGCCATATAGCTCTTCCCAGGTGGCATCTTCGAAACCGCGTAGACAAAGTTTCCCAAGTCAGCGTTAACATCCAAATGAGGAACCTTTGCATCAGGCGCAGTCGTAAAAGTCATCTCAAACGACACCTCCCCTTCCTCCGTCGTCTTCTAAACACAACAAATCAGTCACACAACCCCCAACCAAATCCCTCAAACTCACCTTCCTAAAGTAAGCCCCTGGAACCAACCTATAACTCGTCATAAAATACCCCGTCTGCACACACGACATCTTCCCGGCCAACTTGGGATACCTTTCCCTCACATAATTCGGAAACACCTCCGCCTTCGCATCAAAATGGTACAACTCCCCAAAGCGTCCCCCACTACACACCGCCGCATGACTCAACGTCGACACCACAAACCCATTCTCATCCAACGAGTCCACCGTCGCGGCAGCCGCATCAGCAATATTCTTCCCCTGCTGCAACTCCACCTCGTACGCGTACCGTCGGCATGAGATACCCCGCTCCGCAGCCTGTTTGCGACAGTCTGCGCGGAAGAACGGCTCCCAGTAGTTTGTTACACTGAAGATGAGGTTCGCGCCGCGAAAGGCGGGTATGAGCGTGGTGGGGTCGTTGAGATCGGCGGGGAGGATCTCGATGCCTTGCGCAGAGAGAGATTGGGCGATGGGCGAGGTTGGGTTGCGGGTTAGGCCGATGATGTGGTAGGTTGGGTCGTGCAGGAAGCGGGAGGCAATGGAGTGGCCTTGGTTGCCGGTTATGCCGATGATGAGGAGGGTTTTGGTGGGGGGCATTATGGTGATGCATGCGTTGTTTGATATGCAAGATGGGGTTGTTGTTAATGATGTTGGAGATTTCGGGTCATAGTGTTATGGGGAGAGTGGTGCTGGTGGAGGGGTTGAGGGGTAGAGGGGAGAAGATGGGGCCCGTGGTGGATTCGTGCATGTCAGCGCCGCAGATGCCGCAGGAAGCGATGGGCCTGCGAGTCACCTCCTCTAACTACTTTTCCACTAAGCCCAGGCTACTAAGCGCCTACCCCGGAGTTCGTGTGGTTAGTTTGGTTTGGACGTATACAAAGTAGGTTAGGTTAATGGGAGGGTGGGGAAGGGGAATCTACACCGATCCAGCCATATCGTAGAGACTCCATCAGGCCAAGTGACTGGCTAGCTACGCTACATCTACAAGGAAACAAAGGAAGAGAATTTCTCGAGAAGATGCAAGGGATTATGCAACTTTCGGCAGAAGAAATGCTATACTGCCTGACAACAGCCCGATATGAGAGTCCGCGGAGGAATGACGTGACGTCACCGCCCTCTCCTTTTGGAGACACGCAGCTTATCAGTGCAAACTGAGCTTATTATAATACTACAGTGTTCTCCCCGTGAGTTACAGCTGCTTTAACTTTTCATTTATAAGTTAGTACGCATAGACCTTCGTGGTTATAGAACTCAGACTCAAGACCTTCACGAAAGTCAACCTTACGATACCCGGACTCCGATAAGCTAGTACTAGTATACAAAATGCCCACCATCCCAGCCCGTCGCTCCGCTCATCAACGACTGCACGTCGGCCAATCAATCAAGATCATTAACACATCCGGAAGCCAAGTCATCGACACCTGGGCATTCACCATCCCATCAACTCCCATCTTCCCAAGATACATGTCAATGGCACACACTCGACCCACCTTACAGAAACTTCTCCCATCTGTTAACGAATCATTCGTCGACAACAACCGGAACCCTATTTTGACCATCGTCGAGGACACATCTCCCGGCACGCACGACGTTCTCTACGCTGCTTGCTCTCCAGAACGATACCTCGAACTTGGTGGTACCGCGGACCATGATAACTGTGCCCAGAACCTTCGCGATGCTGTGCAGCAGTGTGCTGAGCCAGCGTTCAGCCATGTGTTGGGGTTGCTTGAGAGTGGATGGACCCCTGATCCGCTGAATCTGTTCATGAAGGTCGATATTAATGGGAATAAGTTGCAGGTTTTGGAGCCGGACAGTAAGGTGGGGGATTATGTGGTTTTGAGGGCGGAGCAGGAGTGTGTTGTGTTTATGAGTGCTTGTCCGATGGATTTGACGGCTTGTAATGGGGCGGGGCCTAGTAGTGCGGAGTTTGAGGTTGTTTAGGTTTGAGTGAATGTGTACTCAAGTTGGTGTTGTTAATCTTCAGGGCAGGGATAGGTAATAGATAATATCGTAAATCATAACTGAGTTTTCCCGTAATCTTGTTACAGAGATGATAATAGATATATATATATATATTGAATATTTGCTAAAACATCAAGACTACAAATAATCCAGTTACTGTATTGATTATATTTGTTACTTTTACCGATATTCTTATGAATACTCCTTCCCGCGGATGAGAATGAGTATCCAATACAGTATTATTGTTATTAAATATAATATCATCAGCTCAGATGCGTCTTATATCAATATCAGTATTCTGAGAATAATCTTCTATACTATTGTCATGACGACATGTGGTCAACTTCTCTGTAGTCTATTATGCATAATCTATTCAAATTTGAAACCAGATATCTGACAGGACTATGAACGAGTCCTGATCATATGTAGTTGAATTAAATGTGATTGTTTATAATTAGTAATGAACTATATGAATATAAAAGTCTCGTGAAAGACTGTTTACCTGCCCATTTTTTTGATCTTTTCAGATTAGTTAGATTATCATAGTACTTATAGAGTAATTATACAGCAGGTAAATCAATAGTACTAATATTTATATCTTTAGAATCATACCACGCCCAGCTTTAGTGTGGCCACGCTGTAACCTCCGCCTCCATAGTTTCTTGAGAGTACGTCGAGCCACTTAGGCCTATCATGCAGGATACCCCCGTGAATACCCACAGCCAATGAGAGAGCTGTAAGAAGACGCGCTAAATCAATTCAGTGTGGGGACTCCTGATTCTGTTAACTACTATTAGACCGATTGTAGCCAGATTAATCCATGAGTGCACTCCTACACAACCTCTATGTCTTCCAGCGTATCTGTTTCAGGAACAGGTTCCAATATGCCGTCTGGAAGATCTGACGAAAGCGAGCGATGCTCTATAGTTTCGGACGACCTTCGTCGATTGCGTACGGGAAAGCGAGGGAGGCCACCAATTGACCCTACGCAAAAAGGCCTAGGGGAGGCATGTTTAGGGACCTACTGTTCTTCCATACTCATCAAGTCTGACTTGGTGTTCTAACTGGCTGATAGAGGCGGCGTAACCAAGTTCGGAAAGCACAACGGGCTTACAGGTCTCGAAAAGGGGAAGAAGCTGCTCTTCGCATGAACTACGTGCAGTTTCTTGAAAATCGAATCGAGCAGATGAGCCGGTCTTTCTTTGAACTATTATCCCATATTACAAAGGCGGGAATTCCTCAGACGCAGCCGGAACTCTCACGCGAGAAGATCCAGAGTATTACTCGCGATTTCATATCTGCTTCTCAGATGATCGAGCCTGTCAACGAGCCACAACTTGATGATGGACATGTCTGTCATAATCACTCAAGGGCTGACCCCAACTCCAACATCACTTGGTCTACGAATTGGCCAGTACCAGCCACTATACCCACCGAAACACCAATGCCTATTCATACGCCTCCGTTAGGGCTTCCCATTACTCTCTTGGAAACACAATTCCCAGTACCAAGAAACTTCGCGGAGCGGCTTTATTTTACTTGCATCAAGCGGGCTCATGGCCTGTTAACTGATCCGCACGCGGATGGGGCTGAAGTCGCCCGCGTTTTCCAGTATACATTCCACTACTCGGACACTGATACGATGATTTCGACTTTCGAGATCTTGCTACGGACTAGTGCCGATTACCGAACTGCATATGTGTATAGGTTGGGTGGTGCAGGGACCCATTACCAAGAAAGGCAGGCAGATCTTGACATTGTCCAGAATGTCTCGGTAGGACAAGAGATGCCATGTGAAAGTGATGATACTACATGGTTCGATCCTCGGGATATCGAGGGTTGGCTCGAAGAGAATGGTCTTGTTATTGGAGCGGCACAGTCTTTTATGTACCTATCGGACTTGCGTTCGTTCAGATCGTGCAGGAATATGACATTATGTACCAAGAGTGAGCCCTCCCTGGGCTCACAGGAGCATATTCGGCAAAGTGCAAAGGTCCTCAACGTGGACCGGTTTCTTCAAGGTTTGTCATCCTGCCCTCTTATATATGTATGGAAATTGTGATATGCAGGAAAGCTGACCGCAGATTCTCAACAGAACTTCTTTTGAAGGGAGTGTGTTTAGGATGTGCACCAGGATTCCGTCGTTTGGATGTCGAAGCGGCATTCAATCTGGCGATATCAGATGATACAACCTTCATCTTTGAACTATAACCGCGCTGCTATACGAGGGACTTTGTCTTGTAAATACAAATTGGCGGCCGTATTCTACAACCCTAATGATTTCCAACTTTCTCTGTATATGGAAACGGCTTATTGCCAAAAAAAAATGACATTCGGCTGGTCGCGATGGATTTACTGCTGCCAGGGTCTAGCCGCTCGGTTCAGGATAAATATCCTCAGAATCGCATAAATCGAGCAATAGGCTGTTAATATCGACAGTCAAGTTGTATCCTGTCAATCTATCAAGCTTTGTTTGACCCATTCTCACTCCCATTCAGTATCCAGTGCTCATCTTAGCCCATCTCAACGGCCGATTCACGAGCGACGAATCTCTAACATCATGATCAGCCCACTTCTCGACGTATACTTCTCCCCACTGATATTTTCTGGTAGCAGGTCCTTGTCTCCATTCGCAACCAATGCCTCAGCGAGAGTACACTTTCCAGCTTCCACAAATCCCAGCCCCCGATACAAGCTGACGGTTGCATGATTCTCCGGCTTTACCATCAACCGGACCCAGAGCTCACGTGGAGAGTCCTTATATGAGGCTAAGTAACTCAACGCCTCTTGACACAACCTCTTCCCCAAGCCGCGGCCACGATGCTCAGGCAGAGTAAACAAGCTGAGCATCTGCCAGAGTTCCTGGTTCTTTCCTCCAGTAGGCTTCTTCTGCCCAGATTCCTCAGGTAGAATGAAGTCCTCCCGGCTCAGCGGGCCTCGCAAAGTCAACTGGCCTACCCACGTGGTGGTCTGTTCTAGGATTTGCGAATTTGGTTGATTGTTTTGTGTGGGTTTCGCAGCGCATATGAAAATCTCCCTTCCATTCTCTGAGACTCTGTCAATCCATTCACTATCCGGGAGAGAAGATTCGATCTCGTAGGTGGAGGAAAATGAAGTCGGTGCAACGGATAAGGCCTGGAGACGTAACTGTTTGTACTTTATGGCGGACGATGCGATCGCATTGTCTTTGGCGATGCGGAAGAAAAGGTACTCATATTGATATTTTGACATTATTCTAAGTATGATTGTAGGTATGAAATGTTTTGTTATATTTTCTGTTGAGCAGATTTGCTGGCTATCAAGCGTTTAAGGGCTGTGACTTTATCAGCATCTCTTCGGCAGAGGGAACCGAAGGAGTGGGTCCGGAAATAAAAGATCACGGAATCAGAAAATAAAAGGCCCCAGTAGCGCTACTAAACCGAAAGGAGTATGTATGGTGGTCAATGCAATGCCAGGGTTAGTTGGAGCTAGGATCTCACCCCGTTCTTGTAATGGCCTTTGGCGAGCACGCCAGGTAAACGCTCTCCTCAAGCAATTAGGACGATGCATCTCTACCTTCTCGTTGTGTCCGGTGTCAGTACCCTCTTATTTCGTGGGGGCGCCGACAGAACCCGTCTAATATACTTGAGCCCATTTAGATCTACCCATTCTCTAGCTAGCGCTTTGGCAGTGGGGCCAAGAAAGAATGGGAAGAGTGCAAATTGGTGAAGCTGTTTTGCGCCTCTCTGTAAAAGCGTAATTTGATATAGGTAGAGTGCTAATTTCTAATCCGTTATTGGCCACTAGAGCTTGTAAGAACCTAATTCTCTAGTAAATATATAAGTATAAAATACTCTATTTTACATTTCTATAAAATTAAGTGCTAATATTAACTGGCAGGTTCTAGATATCAAGATATCAAGATTATAAAGTATAATAAGACAGCACTAGAGGCACTGCCCAAACTGCTTGTCATTTCATACCTATGAAAAGCTCTATTATGAGTATTTGTGTTTGATAAATATTTCTATCACTCATTATCATCAAGATTAGGGCCTTCCTGGACATATTGGCTGCTACGTCCTGAATAGGAGTTGAGGTGCACGATATAGTATACTATTTGATCCATCATCCAACATCTACGAACTGCTTTTAGGCTATAGGTCCGCCGATGATCTACAACAATTGAGGCATGTCAGGAAACGTATTCGATTTTCATTTTGTGAGACATTGTGAACTTCAAGACAAAAATATAGTGAGGATTAGGACTACGTTAAAGTCAATCGATACGTGATTCAAAAACCAAACATTATGATATAACCAACACTTCACATAAGCGCCAAGCCAAATCCAACTGACTATTCTAGCTCTTGCCAATTAATGATTGAGCTCGGCGGTCTTTCATCACCTGAGCAAGAGAGCTAAGATAGATCTCGGTGGTCCAGTCGATGCAACCATCGGTGATACTGACGCCATTTTTACAACTCTGGAGCTCAGGAGCTGTTTCTTGTTACCTTCGCGGATGTTTGACTCCACCATCACACTTTTAATGCCGTTATCACCCTGGCGGATCTGCTCCTCGGTCACCTTGAGGACCTTGGCTGATTGCGGTGATCCTCTTGGGAGTTTCCATTAGGCCGCATTCTTGCGCTTAGAACATGGAAAGGGATAGACGTACCGTGGGAACAGTAATAAAGGCTGCTCCATCATTTGCACGTTGACAAACTTCATAACTCCGTCCAGAGATGATATTATGAACCGTCGGATTGCCAAAGCGTTTGACTTCTTGAGCCGTCGTTCCAGCAACATGGATAGGCGCTTCCAATTAACCTCATTGGTGGCAATCTTCTTCACTTCGTAGAATATTCGAGTAGAGAGCCTAGTGCGCCAAAACCCATTACCGAGATTGAGGCGCAATCCTTTTTCCAAATCCACAATCGTTTCATATGGAAGATATTCAAGAATCAAATAGAGTATTTCCATCGGAAGAACGCAAGGTCTGGGACGTGGTGCCTTTCGGGTGACCAAATAACCCTTTCGTTTCATCCTCGATTGCCTTCGCCTTTCGTGCTTTCGTGCTAGACAAATGGCTTCTTTAACGCATTTTGTACGAACGGGATCTGTTAGAGATTCAAGGTCAGCGTCATCGAATGTCGGACCTGGGGGGACCCTAACCTTCCCGACAAAACATCCAATACCAGGATCTAGGTCGGTAGCCAGATTTCTTACATCTGTCTCGGAGGGTCTTATGTCTGTCTCGGAGAGCGTCGAGAACTATGCCCAAGTTTCTCTCCGCAATCGCCCCCAAGTCATGATGAGTAAGTAGCTCCCAGCAGCGAGAGTGAACAAAGTAAGCCACCCACTCAATGTCGGGCGCCGGCTCCTGGGTTGGGCATAGAATGTCCGGACTTACGAAAAGTTGTCGTTCTTTGGGGGATAACCAGCCAAACCAACTACCGCAAACGTATCCATCTTTCTCATTCATTGGAACCAATCCGGTTGTCAGAGGATGCAGGCTGACTCCAGAAAGTCGGCATGTGCCTGTTGCAGGGTGGTACAGAACTGAACTGACCAGTCAACAGCTGACGACATACAGTGTACCAAGGTGACTGACTTGCGCGGGAAGTGTTCCACCATGTTCTCTTCCACCAGCTTTTCTTCCCAGAAGCTTTCCAATCCTCTAGAGCCTCGGCTCGACATATGCTACTCCCTGTACGGTATCTCGGATCCACGTAACTGTAATGAGAATCCTCACTGGTCCCGTTGGCGAAGACAAAGCCGCAGACGAGACAGCTGGGCCTATCATGATAGGACTCAGCTTCAATTGTGTGGTAGAAGGAACGGTTTATAGCTTTCATGTTTCCAGAGTGTGTGCATCAAAAGTGTAAGGCTACCGCCGCAATGCGCACTGTATATGGGCCATTTAAAAACGTCTGGTTCGGCGGAAGATGTCATGATAGCGATGGCTACGACATAAGGCGGTAGTCAAACCGGAAGTCCAATATAACTACATCGGAAAGGCTTGTCCGAAACCTTCGCTTATCCTATTGGAGCTGTCTTCATGGTGTGTACATGCTTCTGTCCAGAGACCTAATGAATTTTGATTGAACTCGATAACTCGATACAACACAGAGGCAACATTACATCATGTGGACCATGACAGGTAAGCACGATGTATGAAGTGTCGTGCCAATTAAGGAAGGTGCAACAAGGCTTGCATTTCATAGCACAAATGTTTTGTAGAAATTAGCATACCATATTCCAGTAGCAGCACAATCGAAATAGTCTCTCACACTATACTCTCTCACATTCTACTCTCCCAAAAAATGTAAGTAGAGCAATAAATCCAGATGACCTCACATTGACTTGTATGATGAAGGTGCTTCTATCAGCTCTATGTCTATTCGTGCGGATGCACGAGCCCCGGCCCCTTCAAGCAATGCCTCCCTTGCCTCGGCACCAACGTTAAGTGCACCAAATTGGGCCCAAGGCAGCGAGAACTAGTGGGCAATTATTGCCCAAGACATTTGGTCACTAGGGGAGCAAAGATCGTCTACGTGAGGCCGGGGGGCCAATGGCAATCAGTCGCGGGTGAGGGGGGACAAGGGGCCGAGGCCGAGGAGGCTGAAGCCGAAGAAGGAGAGGAAGAAGAAGATGATGATGATGAGAGTGACAACAACGGCGACGAGGAGTGGCGTCCTTAGATTACATTGTTAGGCACCCTATTTATTACATGCCAATGCAGTTTTCTTGACAATCATTTCGGCCGCCAACTCTATAAATAGTAGGAGCTGAAATCTAGTACTAGACCTGTGTCCATGCGAACGCTGAAGGTGCGTGCTAAATTCCAAGACACCCGGCCATATAAAGCGATTGGCCAACTATATATCGCGTACTATCATCTTCTTCATCTTCTATTAGTCCACTTTCATTTTTAAGAATGGACTTCTTCACATCTTCCAGAAACCTCGACATATTATGATCCTAAAACGGAGACATGATTAGTTCTATTACATATAGGGACAGGACTGAGAACCTACATGCTTGATCGACTGTAAACGATTAATCATGTCTGTGATAGTAGATCGGTCGCTGATGACATTAAGCACCTGAACCCAATGAAAGAAGTGTTCCTGGAGGAATAGAAAGAATGTGTCTAGTTTATCAACAGAATCCGCACTGTTCAATAGATGATGTACCCAGTATTGACACGCATATTGGAGTTCCGGGGTGGTATTGTTGTATGTCCCATTCCCTGAGTCCGAGTCCACTTGGGGTTTGTCGGAGGCTGGTGGATTATGGGTGTTTTGTTCAAAGGTGTATTCCATGAGTTCCTGGCACCGCGCAGTGATTTCACTGTGCGTCTCTTTCTCATCGATCCAGAAGGGTATCATCTCGCGCGAGTCTGGGCTATGTAAGAAGGATCGGAGTGACCAGTGAAGAGGTTCCACTGGTAGTATATCATCGTCTGGGACTTTGATGATGGAGTGCAGAGAGCCCAGCCTCCGCTTTATCAACTTCTCGGAGTGGCCAGTGAGTATTGAAAGCGATTTGACCGATAGCGCACGCTGGAGAATAAGAATCGGACCAACTACTTCTTTAAATTCCCGAAGTAGTTTCTCTTGCTGGGATTTGGCCCGCCCATGGAGCATGCGATTCAAGATGGGGAGGTATATCTGATCTAGCTTGAGCCTGGGGCTTTGGAGGAACTCCCCAAGGACTTCCTCTGGATCCCATTGAGGCTCCTCTAGCGTGTTGCAGAAAGCAGCAGCAGAAGCAAACGAAGGAACGCACAATGTGACAAGCTTCTGAAAATCCTGCTCAGAGGGCCAGTTGGACGGAAGTAGGTTATCATTTTTGATTTCTGCGATCCTGTGCCTCAATAACAGCGATATATCGTGTTCTATTGTTGGACTTAGAACCTCTTGCAGAGCAAAGTCACGATACTTGTTGGCAACGAGATGGCTGAAGCTCTGACGAATAGGTAACTCGGGTCGACTTGATAAGAAGATCCGTGGGTGTACTACACCCGAGTCCCGCAATTGAGATAGTAAATGAACTATGAGTCGCACGTCTTTGTCCGACTCACATTCGTCTAATGCATCGATCACTATCACAATAGTCTCGGTGTCCTTTCCAGTTCTTCCCAGTTCTATCAGTGGCGAGAATAGAAGTCTTCCAAACTGCTCCCTTAGTGACTTTGTGGATATATCAGGGTTTTCTCGAACAGCTTTCTTGATAATCGGTGAGAGCTGAGGGAGATGTGTGATGAGCTGCCTGGCGATTGTCGAGAAAAGCCGTCTTGCATGTCCTCGATCACCTGCATTCCTCTTGAAGAAAAAGCTAGCACCCAGCATTTGTTTTTCTCTGAAATGCTTGGCAACAGTTCGAGATATCGTAGACTTTCCGGTTCCAGCCATACCGTTTAGGTAGAAGATGCATCTGCCACTTTCATCGTACACCCAGTCCTCAATGCGCTGGAGAAGGCTGATGCAAGTGCCCGGAAGACAGAAAGTTTCGTGCTGGTCTGCATATGAATCAAAGGCAGCATCTCCGGCCATCGGCAGCCTATTCAAGTCGATCCATTCTTTCCTACAACTCACACCGCCATAGCCCGTCTCTTTTGGCGACAGATGTTTGACAGGCCACAGCGCGGTAGCTATACCTTGCCTTTGAATAGTGTCACCGATCGCTCTCATTTGATCATACGCCTCACCCAAAGAAAAGCCCAGTTCATTGGTCCCTCTCGCTTCTTGTGCGTCGATTTTGAGGAGAACAGTCTTGCAATAAGCTGCGGCCGCAGCCGCCGCAAAGCGTTGCCAGCCTTCTTGCTTGTGGGTATCCGCATAGTCGCATATTCCTCTCACCACGAGGCAAGGGATCTCGTCCGTTACTCCAGCAGCAACCGTCTCAAAGCAGATGGCATTGTCGTGTCCATGCTGAAGTTTCTTCCGATCACGGGCGTTGTTGATAATTCCATTACCGGAAAGTATGAGATCTCGATGGACCACGGGCTGAAATGAAAGACGTGGGACTCGGATCACATGCTTTTTCAGGTCAGATTGCTCACATACTGTACAATCAAGTGCCTTTTTGACGTGAGTGAAACTGTCCTCATACAAAACGTCATCACTTCTAGGTCGCTCATATCCAGGATATTTCATGATCTCATTCAAGATATCTCTTAGGGGGCTTCTTTGCATTAATTCATCTTCTTGCAATGATCTGTCCGCACTGATCAATATAGGCGGCGGTTTGTTTGCGCAGCCCTTGAGCACGAATTTGTTTTGTTCGTACTTCAAAAAGTCATACTCGACTATTCCAGGATGAGTGTCTCCAGGTACTCCAATAGCAATATCGCCCAGGCGGATGTCTCGCTTTGGCGGGCAAGGAATGCCGGCTCCCGTGCCAACCGTGAAGGCAAATTCAACGTTCGGAAATTGTTGTCTAACCGTTGCTGCGCAGTGGGCAGCCTTTACAGTTCCTGTCTGGAGTGGTTGGGCTATGACAAGTCTGCGATACCCTATACGGCCAAAAGAATAGATATAGTCCTTCGGACCTATGGTTGTCGGGCGGCATGTGAATTCTTCGTCCAGGCAAGACTTGACAGCAGCAGCCTCGTAGGAAACAGAGCAGAAGATTGCTACAGTGATACTATCGGGTGATGTCTTTTTGAGCCGTTGTACGTCCGAATCTTTCGCTGTGATTCCTTGAACGAGGAAGAGCGGCAGTCGCAAGACTCCCCATAACACTAGCTGGAGCATCTCGCGCAGTGACCACCTGAGTGGAATTTCCATCTTGGCCTCAACATATGCGATACGCTTGTACTGTGTAATTTAGAATAGAACATCATTCCTGCACAATACCACCCGGTAGCTGCTGTGGCGAGGCTGTAGTCGGCATGGTAGAGCCACGTCCACGGCCATGCTCGGCGCTAAGGTCATCGGCGCTTTGATAGGTCCATACCCCGCTTCATCATACAGTGTTTAGTGACCACTACAATGCATCTGAACATGATGAAATCGTCGCAGATACCTGCAGCAGGAAGATTCACAGTCAGCATCTTATACAGGGTCACTAAAGGTCCATCGGCCGCGCTCAGACCGGACACTTGAAGGCATACGTCCTTCATACTAGAGTAGTGGGCATCACACCCACACATACTAACTTGATCTGGTATAGAGTCAGCTGATCAAAGATCATCGCTACACGGCTGTATCAACTATCAAGGGCCTCATCAAGGTTTCAGTCACTGGCTTCCCAGAGCCTGGAAGCTTTGGCCCTTGATCACCGCAAATTGTTTCATGTCCATGAGGGTAGGCCTAGGGGAGACTTTTGAATAACCGGTCATTTGAATAATAATCTCAGTATCTAATTCGCACTGGGCTTAGAGGAAACCAATGCGCCCTCAGTGCCAGTCGTTCAATCCAAGCAGCATCGGCTTTGGGGCATTGAACTAGCAATGATCTTCGGTGCGTAGAGGTAAGGTCATGAGGCATAGACTCTGTAAAAAGGCACTCTGAACTTGATAACATATTGCCCGATTTGTGTAGGTGAGTGGAGTTTCGATGGAAGGCCATACGGATGTTACACATCAAGGTTATCTGGACGCCCCATTCCCGACTACATCCCCGCCACTAGTGGAATACCTGGAAGTTTGACAGCCAAGGACATTGGCTTCCGCTCCAATAGTCATGATGCTGCTTTGGAATATTTACCCGTAGTCTTGGCAACCTTCGAATGTGCTCAGGGTTGGTTGGTGCTGACATATCGGTCACTGAATCATGACTGCCATTGCGTATATTGGCAGATCAGTGCGCTAAACTTTCTTTATACTTCCGCTCCATTGGTGTGAACAGTCTTTTGTGACAGAGCTCTGCTCATGTATTCTGTGGCAGCATAGATACTCTAAGTATCATAATTACCTAATTGAGCATGTGTTCATCCCCACTATTGTTTCTGCCAGATTATGCGAATCCCGCCCTTCTGACCGCTCTAGAGCAACCAATCGGGATGCAGAAAATGAGCAACACCGGATCAACAAGGTTCCGGGCCGCTAACCATTGCGTCAAAATGCCCCGCCTATGTCCATCCGAGCCAATCAAAGGCTAGTAAAAGAAAACCTCGTCCGCAAGGTCCTCACTTTCGAGCGAAAACTCTTGAGGTGAACCCGCCGCTTTCCCCCAAGGTCCCCATCTGATGCAACTTGGCACTTTACCCAGAACGGACTGGAGGTGTCCGTCGCCCGCCATCATGGAGGCGCCTCTGCATTCAACCCCTGTTCTTGCTTCGCGTTGTGTTGCTCGATTGACTTCTCACCTGTGTCCAGGTGAGCTGCGCGCTGGCAAGTTGTTTGAGATTGTTTCTTGACTAAATCAAATCTAAATCGACGCCTCAGCAATCGCGTTTGTGCGAACCCCTCACCTTGTGCCACCAAGGTCCTCAGCACCGGTTCAGCGCCGTTCATCGCCGGACCCTTTTGACGTGGACCAGCCTTAGGGACCTTGGGGACGCCCAACTCTCACACTGAACAACTTGGCGCACATTTGAGAAACCAATTTAAGAGCGGGGGACCTTGCAGACGAACCTCCAGCAATTTCAACCGAACTGCAGTTGACATTCCTCTTCCACGTGCCTACACTTCCGCCATCCTCCTGTCACACCGATCCTGCACGCCATTGGACCGGATACCTGTCAGACCTCGTTTCGATCATCCCTACCTTCTTCGGGCGGGCCCGTGCTATTCTAAGCTGCTCCAGACCGTCTGCAGAGAACTTGCCGGGTCGGATACATCCTACGGTGGAACATGGATTCTCTTCAGAGTCTGGTTGCCAGAGATGCAACACCTGCTTGTGAGACGGGCAATGGATATGACGGCCGTATGGGCCTGCGTATCTCGTCTATCTTTGTCATTCTCGTCGGTTCAACATGCGGGGCTCTCTTTCCCGTGATGGCCCGGAGTTTCAAGGACTCCAAGATTGCAAAATGCGCCTTCTTCATCGCTAAATACTTTGGCTCCGGTGTTATCATTGCCACCGCATTTATTCACCTCCTTGCCCCAGCAGAAGAGGCCTTGACCGACGATTGCCTCACCGGCCCAATCACAGAATACTCTTGGGTTGAGGGAATCGTCCTGATGACCATTGTGGTACTGTTCTTCGTGGAGCTAATGGTCATGCGCTTTGCCCGTTTCGGCCACGGCCACTCTCACGACGAGGATGATGACCATCACGTGAAGATTGAGCATGCCGCTGCCTCCTCTCCTGCTGAGTCGGTTGACATGAAGACCCATATGCCGGGAGAAGACCATCTCGGGCATTCCCGCGAACACCATGATATGGAGCTCGGGAAGCAGCATTCTGATCTGGAGGAGTACGTCGCTCAATTGACCTCCATCTTCATTCTGGAGTTTGGAATCATCTTCCACTCCGTTTTCATTGGGTTGACCCTGGCGGTCACCGGCTCCGAGTTTGTGACCCTCTACGTTGTCCTCGTCTTCCACCAAACCTTCGAAGGCCTGGGTCTGGGATCCCGGTTAGCTACCGTTCCCTGGCCACGTTCCAAGCGATGGACCCCTTATTTCCTGGGACTTGGATACGGTATCTCCACGCCTATTGCGATTGCGATCGGTCTAGGCGTGCGCGACTCTTATGCATCTGACGGCGCCACGACGTTGATCGTCAGCGGTGTCTTTGACTCGATTTCGGCCGGCATTCTGATCTACACAGCCCTGGTGGAGCTACTGGCCCACGAGTTCATGTTCAGCACTTCGATGCGAAAGGCACCGATACAGATTGTTCTCGCGGCTTTCGGTCTGCTATGTCTGGGTGCTTTGCTAATGGCCCTGCTGGGTAAATGGGCTTAAAAATATTAAATAGATCTTGTTCTTTGTACATATAGATACCATTTATGACAGTATATGATGACAGTCTCCATACTACCACATCTCAAACACGAAAATCGTAGAAATAGATAAGCATTCAAAGTCAGAGCTATGGGTCCAACAAGATACATTCATTATATATTCGAGCATATGTCTCCAAGTCTCTTCATCAGTCAATACTGCTAGCAGACTATCACAACAAGTTGGCTGGATGGTGTAGTTGGTTATCACGTATGCTTCACACGCATAAGGTCCTGGGATCGAGCCCCAGTCTAGTCACTTTTTTGTTTTTCCTTTTTGATCTTTCCTAAAACACCACTTCCTGTGCAATCAACATGTCTGCTTTTTTTTCGTTGCTAATTTATATATAATAGATATAATATCCCATAGAGGTAGAAAACACCCTATATAGAAACTACCAATTACAAGCAACACCCCACAAGATAGACTCTGCATACTCCCCTTAGCAACTCCCTCCCCAGCTAACTAACCTAGTACTTATCTAACCGCCCGGCAACCACCACTAGTTACCTCTCCGCATCTCCTCCGCTCTCACTCACTTAAGTATACGTATCCGCATCTCCCCAATTCCTCCCATCCTACAACTCCCACCCTCCAACCTCCAACCAATTCATCCGTCCATTCACATATACTCCATCTACCAAAATGCGCCTCCCAACTCTCGCCACCCTCCTCACCCTCTCCCTCACCACCCTCGTCTCCGCCGCCGACCTCGGTATCGAAGTCACCCACGCGGTCGAATGCACCCGCAAGACCCAAAACGGAGATACAGTGTCCATGCACTACCGGGGCAAGCTCGCCTCCGACGGATCCGAGTTCGATGCTAGTTATAACCGCGGCACTCCGTTGAAGTTCAAGCTTGGTTCGGGGAGAGTTATTAAGGGGTATGTGTTTACCATCTTCCCATCATTGCTAGCTTGCTTTTCGAGAGGAATTGTTTATGGAGATGGATGCTGATTTATTTGTCTGGGTATAGATGGGACCAAGGTCTCCAGGACATGTGCATTGGGGAGAAGCGCACGTTGACCATTCCGCCGGAGCTGGGATATGGTGATCGCGGTATTGGACCGATTCCTGGCGGTGCGACGTTGATTTTTGAGACGGAGTTGGTGGGTATTCAGGGGGTTGATAAGGATGAGTTGTGATCAGTTTTCTTCTCAATTCCTTTTTCTATATATATGCATGTGGGGTATAACGATATGGGTCTATTTGTATCGTCTAGGGTATCATCTTCTGAAGTGTAGATTAGGTACACGGATCAACAGCAATGAGTCTAAATAAATATACAGGGGGTTAATCCATCGCATCCAATTTGTTATCCGACTCGTCGTTCTCGGAGACGAGTATCCCCACGAGGCATTCTCCTAGTATAGCATCCCAGTTTACCCACGGGTGGATCTCGAAGAATAATTTGCCCGAGTCCTTGCCCGCGCCGCGGAGAAGCTCTCCCCGGCCGCCGGGGTGGAAGGGGAGGTAGGGTGTGATGTTGTAGACTTTCCCCTGGTATGATGTCCATGCGTCCATGCCCTTTCGGCCATTTTGGGCTTTCAGCATCGAAGGCGTCACTCGGATCAAGGTTGGAGGGAGGTTCGCTCCCCGCAACTTGTTGTTTGGGTTGGATGTCAACGCAGCCCAATCTAGGGGTGAATATCCTGGTTCGAGAACCGCTCGTTTCGAAGAGCTGGACGGTTTGGCGGTCACCTTCGTCGGGGCGAGCGTGCTGCTCGAGAGGCCGCTGCTTGGAGGAACGCGCAGGGAGGCAGCAGCGGAGGGTGGTGGACGCAATGAGCTCGAGCTCGTATTATTCGGGCGTGGGGGATATCGCCCCGGTGCAAGGGAGGGCGCAGAAGTAGTCTGCGATGCGATCGGACGGAGACGCGGCGGGGCCGGGGGAGGCATAAGAGAGGAGCTTTTTGCGGGGTTGGATTGCTGTGGCGGGGGTGGCGGAGGCATGAGAGTGCTGTCTACCATCTTGGTCTGGTTTAGGGGTTGAGATGGTGGTTTCATCGTGGTTTGGGTTTGAGCGCTGTCGCTGCCGGACTGGATTTGCGGTACTGAGGGGCGGGAATGATCGGCGCTGTCGTCTAGTCGGAAGGAGGGTACTTCCAGCGCTGGTGCGCTGGATGGAGTTGCCTTGGGGGTGGTCTGGGTGTCGCTCGCAGCATCATCCTCGTCAATAGGGGGCTTTGCTTCGCCGTTGGCTGTCGTTTCCTCTGTCGCAGGGGGGTTGACGGGTTTCGGAAGTGGTTTGGATGCCGGGGGCTCAGGAGCCCAGGTTCCGGGGGGATAGCGATACAGCAGGAAGCATGCTGTTGCAATGAGTGTGGCGACCCCGACCCAGCCCATGCTGGATGTATTCTCAGTATAGTGACAGAGACACTGGCTAATGTTGAATTGTAAGCCACATGCCCAAACCGCGGAGAACATTGCCACGTGATACCTCCGGATTTCCGATGTGCATGATTAGTAATATATGCGTTATTCAGGGTCCTGCTATTTGCACTGTTTGGTCCTGCGATAAGCGTGATAAGATGCTCGATTAGGAAGGTGCATGCAAGCGATGTCGGTTGACTTTGTTTACTTCTCTTGCCTTAGTTAAGTCACGGTATGCTGGTTGTGTCTGGAAAATACTGTTTCAGTTGATATAAGCAACATATGGTGCGATTATGCTGAAGTCCAAGCAAGGGATCTCGTCTCGTTTGTTAGCGATGATTGGTGGACTGAACAGGATGGCTGGCTAGACTGAGACAGTGAGGAGAACTGAAGCTATACTTCTGGTTAGAGGCTACCCTCGGCTACAGAGTTTCTCTACATTACTGACAGTAGACATGCAGCTGCAGCGCTCCTACCGTCCCTGGAACTAATTCTACCGCAGAATGCAGATCCATTCCTGACCCCGTGCGGTGGCTATTTATTGACCTCATCTATCCCTCGATGCATCAGCACCTACCACAATCAACATGGGTCGACACTTCGCTCTCAGTTGGCTGGCAACATGTCTGCCCTTGGCCACAGCAACCAACCTCTACGCTACCCACTATGACGGCTCCGTCTACAGTCTCTCCCTCCAGCGCAGCGACGACACCTACTCCCTGTCCATCGTCTCCTCGCTAAAGACTTGCGGCTCGATGCCCAGCTGGCTGACCTTTGACTCGGCCTCGCGCATTCTATACTGCTCTGATGAGTCTGGCGATGCGTCCACCAACGGATCTCTAACCACTCTGGCAGCCGACGAGGACGGCACCCTAACGGAGATAGCCACTGCCGCGGCACCTGGAGGCGGCGTGAACAGTATCTTCTATAGCGGTGATGACGGCACTCAGTATTTAGCTATCGCTCACTAGTATGTTCCTCGACTTCGGCGTGTGGTTGTATCTAACGGTTGCAGTGGCGGCTCCGCGATGTCGACATTCCGTCTTCCTTTGAATCAGGGAGATGAGAACCTCCAGGTTTTCCGCTACACCCTCTCAGAAACCAAACAGAACCCGCAGCAGAATGCGCCCCATCCTCACCAAGTCCTTCTGGACCCAACTGGATCGTTTATACTCGTGCCGGATCTGGGAGCGGATCTCGTCCGCGTGTACGCCATCGACAAGTCTAGCGGTGAATTGGATGGGACCTGTCCTGACCTCTCTTATCCAGAGGGGAGCGGACCGAGACACGGCCTTTTCTGGCAGACGGAGCACTCTACACTCACCAGACAACTCAAGACTCGGCAGCAGGACAGTCAAGTCCTGTACATTGTCGATGAATTGGACGGACACTTCAAAGGGTTCACGGTCTCCTACACGTCCGATGGCTGTCTCGGCTTTGATGAGTTCCAGTCCTTCGAGCCGTACACCGACGGCCAGCTACCGGACGGGGCCACGCCATCGGAAATCCGTCAAGCGGGCAATTCCTTGTATGTGTCGATCCGGAGTGATCAAGGCTTCGCCCCCAACGATTCAATGGCAAATCTGGGCCACTCTTCGAATAACACAATCACCTTGAACGAACTCACCTCATCGTATGGCACGGTTCCCCGCACTTTTGTGATTAACCAGGCGGGCGATTTGGTTGCGATTGGCGATCAATCGTCGTCGAATGTTGCGATCGTAGCGCGGGACCCGCAGACTGGAAAGCTGGGGGATGAGGTGGCAAATGTGCAGATCGGCGAACCGGGGGTGGTCGGTACATCGACGGGGTTGAGCAGTGTGGTATGGGATGAGTAGATACCGCTTAAAGCATGATAAGATGCATTCCTCAGTATCTGTCAGCAATCCGTCAGTACTATCTGATTGTAGACAAGCGTTGCTAAGATAATAGCCGATAAGCATTGAAGATCACGGGTCGGCAGTATAAATGGTAGTGAGGGTAGTACTACAACACCGTTACAGCGGGTGCTTCTCCCGCCACTGCTAAGTAAGCGTGAACCAGCGATGCAAGGCACCTCAAAAACGGGCAACTTGCCTCTATCCCAAATCTTTTCCGGTCAGTTGCCACCCTGCTGATTGAGTAGACAGCAATTCCAGTGATCATCCGACTATGATCGCAAGAGGCAAGGCAGCCGACAGCCGAGTGCGTGAGAAGCGGGGACCATGGCGTGATTCACTGATTGGTTCCAACATGCGGATTGACCGTCTCCTCACTTGGATTGCCAATCGGATGGTGATGCCCCTCTCCATCTGATACTCTTCTGCCATCAATTCTGGTTTCTGGTGCGGTTAATGGCGAGGCCGCGTGCCTCAGCCGAGAGCCGATGGCGTAGTACGGGGTAGATGCCACTTAAATACCCCTGTCTTCGCTTCTGGTCAGCTGTGAGTTCAGCTGTGAGCTCACATCTTAGTCTCTTGCCCATATTATACATCATGGCTCCGAAACGCCCCAACTTCCTCGTGGTCGTCGCTGACGATCTGGGCTTCTCTGACATTGGTTGCTTTGGAGGAGAGATTCGTACTCCCAATCTCAACCGTCTGGCTCAAGAGGGCGTTCGCTTTACAGACTTTCACGCTGCGGCAGCATGCTCGTATGTCCTCCCCTGCCACTATACTCTCAACAGTGTCTAACAATTAATCCAGTCCCACTCGTGCCATGATCATGACCGGTACCGATCATCACATCGCCGGTCTGGGTAACCTCGTCGAATGGACCAACATCTCCGGTCAGAATGACCCCAAGGGCGGCGGCATGAGCACCGCTCCTCAGCGCGGTATGCCTGGATATGAAGGCTACCTCAACGAGCGCGTCGTCGCTCTCCCCGAAGTCCTCCGCGACGGAGGCTACCACACCCTGATGGCAGGTAAATGGCACCTGGGTCTTACCCCAGAGCGCTCTCCCTACCGTCGCGGCTTTGACCGTTCTCTTGCCCACCTCCCTGCCTGCTCCAACCACTACGCCTATGAGCCCCAGCTCCAAGGCACCGATGAGACTCCCACCTTCCTCGAAGCTAGTTACATCGCCCTGCACACGGAAGACGACCAATACGTCAAGAAGCTTCCAGATGGATGGTACTCGTCCGATGGCTACGGCGACAAGATGCGTGATTACCTGAAAGACTGGCACGAACGCGGCGATGACCGGCCTTTCTTCGCCTATCTCCCCTTCACAGCACCCCACTGGCCCCTGCAAGCTCCCCGCGAGTACATCGACCACTACCGCGGTGTCTACGACGAGGGCCCTGATGTCCTGCGCCAACGCCGTCTCGAGCGCCTCAAGGCCCTCGGCATGATTCCTGACAGCGTCGAGCCTCATCCTGTGGTTGCAGAGGAAGACGAGGCCAAGCCCTGGTCTGAGCTCTCCCCAGAGGAACAGAAAATGTCCTCCACCGCGATGGAAGTCTTCGCCGGTATGGTCGAGTGCATCGACGCCAACGTCGGCAAGGTCGTCGACTATCTCGCCTCTATTGACGAGCTGGACAACACGTTCGTCTGCTTCATGTCCGACAACGGTGCCGAGGGCGCAGCCTACGAAGCCTACCCTCTTGTGAAGAGTGGCGTCCTTCCTCATCTTCAGAAATACTACGACAATTCGCTCGAGAACCTGGGCAACTACAACTCCTTCATCTGGTACGGACCGCGATGGGCGCAGGCAGCCACCGCTCCGTCTAGATTGTATAAAGCATACACTACGGAGGGAGGCGTTCGCGTTCCCTTCCTTGCTAGATTTCCTACTTCAGTACAGACATCTCCTCAGGTTCAGGCCGGTGCTATAACAGACCAATTCGCCACTGTCATGGACCTCGCCCCTACGATCCTGGACATGGCCGGCCTCAAGCACCCCGCACCGACATACCAGGGACGGGAAATTGTTCCTATGCGTGGAAAGTCCATCTACCCCTGGGCCAATGGCAGCGCCGCGCGCATCCACCCAGAGGACTTCATCCAGGGTTGGGAAACCTGTGGTCGTGCGGCGCTGCGCTACGGCGACTGGAAGATTGTGTATATCCCGAAACCGAAGGGACCAGAGCGCTGGCAGCTGTATAACCTGAGGAATGATCCGGGAGAAGTGCACGATTTGGCGGAGAATGAGCCGGAGAGGATGGAGGTGTTGTTGAAACTGTGGGATCAGTATGTGCTTGAGACGGGAGTGATTCCGTTGAGTCCGGATCTGGGAGAGTTCCTCGAGGCGATGGACGAGCAGATGAAGGAGAATGTGTGGATGGAGTTCGACTATTGGAAGAAGGGGGCCAGGGAGGAGCCGGACAAGTTTACGAGAAAGCCGTTGAGGTTTGGGGGGTTGCAGAAGACGGTGAAGCAGTTTTAGGTGCTGCTGCTGCTGCTGCTGCTGCTGGGTATTATGCTGGCCATAATTTCTTAGTTTTGTCTTAGATGGTAGTTAGATACACATAGTTTGATATAGATGTGGATACTACTCATCAATACAATCACAATTATCTAAAGAATTATTCAAACATTGAAGCATATTAAGAAATATAGCATCCCCTCCTCACCACATTTCCCCCCTCCACCACAACCCTCATCCTCCCCTTCCCTACCCTTCCATCCACCCTCCCACTCACAACCACCTTCTCTCCCCCCAACACACTCACATAATTATCCCCCCACCACACATCCACCTCCTCATCAGCATCATCCACCATCGCGATCCTCACAAACCACGCCGGTACCTTATCCCGATTCTCCAGCGTGACCTTCAACCCTCCGCCATCACCCATCTCCCCAGTGACAACCACCTCTACCCTCGGCAATCCCACCAAGGACGTGAAATTCGCATAAGAACTCACAGGCGTGGTATACCACGTCGACTCATCCCAGCTCAGAACATCAAGTTGAGAAGGCAGAATATACACATTCCTACTCAGCACTTCTCCCCCATCATTCTTCAAAACTAATCTAAGAAAAACCACCCCATCCCATCCTCCATTTCCAACCCAAGGGATGATAGAGGTGACTTTCTTCGACATCGTCGGACCCATCTCCACACTTCTTACCTCTCTATGAAATAGATTCTTCCCAGCTAGATCTACCACATCAACCACCACCACCCTCCCTTCTTTCCCCTCAATCCCATGATTTATGATATAGATATCCCCATTCGAGTAATCAACCGCAACATGATCCCCTCTACACCCCACCTTCACTCCATAATACCCCCCTCCCCTCTACACCCCACCTTCACTCCATAATACCCCCCTCCCCTCTTCAAATAGAAGTCAATGAGTTGCCAATGTAAACTCGGCCACGCACTATTCAACATCCAGTACACTACCCCCGTCGCAGCCCTACCAGATCTATTCTGCCGTATAGCAAACGCCTCGAACTCCGCCCTCGTCGCCTCATAATCCATCACCTGCGCCAGAAACACATACTCCTCCAACGAAGTTGGCTTACCATACCTCTCCCACAGCGCAGCATTATACACACCCCTTGTATGGAACTGCGATCCGGAGGGAGACATATGGTACATCCCTGCATATTTCTCTTTCCACAACGTATCCAGTTCCTGGGGAGAGAGGAATCGTCGGAGGCTGGGGAGTTCGGGCGTCCCTACGCCTGCACCCTGCTCTGAGCCGAAGCCGAATGCTGCGCCGAACTGCTCGGAGTACCAGTAGTTAGGGGGCACCCAGTCGTATGGGCCGAGCATTTTCATTCCCGATGGGTGGATTCGGGAGGAGGCGGAGGATATGATGGGGTTAGGCCAGTCGGAGTGGTTCAGGGCGGTGGTGTAGAGGGTGTTGGCGCGGGTGTTGGGGGGGTAGTCGGAGCCGAGGAGGAAGGCGAGGATGGAGGGGTGGGGTTGCAGGGTTAGAGATTCGTGGGTGAGACTTGAGGAGGCGGTTAGGTAGTCGTTGGTTGTCCAGGGGTAGTGTCTTTCGAGGTCGGTGTTGTACTTTTATTCTATTAGTATAGATGTATAGGGTGAAGGGGATAAGGGTAGGAGTATACCTCCCACGCCTCCCACTTATCGCAACACTCCCACCCCGCCAGCACCATGACCCCCATGCGATCAGCCAGATCATAGAACTGTGGGTGTTCGAGCTTGCCTTCTAGTCGGATCGTGTTGAGTCCCATATCCAGCACAGCTTGGAAGAGTGTGCGCACACGATCGATATCAAACCGGAGGAGTATGTCGGGGCTGTATCCAGCCCCTCGCACATGGAAGGGGTATCCGTTGACTTTGAATGAGATATCTTTTTCATTGCCATATTCAGTTAGCGTGGCAGTGACAGAGCGAATCCCGAATGAGCACTCCGCGCGATCAGATAACTTCCCATCACTGAGGGTGAAATTCGCAAGCACGGTATACATATCCTGTCTTCCCCAGGAAGCAGGCCACCATAGCTTGGCATTTGGGATAGTAACTGCTGCTTCGACGGTGGTGGTTTCTCCTCCTTGTAGAGTTACTAGCTGTGCAAACTCCACTCCTTTATCGTTAGTATCATCATGAAAGACCCTCCCCATAAACACCCCCCTAACACTCTCATCCCTCCAATTCCTCACATCAACCTTAACCTTCACCTTCACATCCCCCTCCCCATAAACATCAACATCCCCGACAACAACAACCCTCACCCTCCCCATTCCCACCCCATTTACCCTCCTAACCTCCACCCCTCTCCAAACCCCCATCCCATTATCCGGCGGAGGAGGATTCCAATCCGCCCAACCCACCCCGAAATCCCTCATATAATCCACCGGATACACCCTCACACTAATCACATTTTCTCCATCTTTCACTCGGCTAGAAATATCATATTCCTGGCCGTTGTATGCTCCGGATATAGAGGCTATTTGGTGTCCGTTGATGAAGATGTCTCCGCGGGAGGAGATGCCGTGCGTTGTTAGGAGAATGTCTTCGTGGGAAAGCGGGGGAGAGAGGGTAAGAGAGGTGGTGTAGAGCCAGGGGGATTGGAAGGGTGTTGTGGGGATGAGGGAGAGGGTGGTGCTGTGGAAGAGGGTGGATTCGTTGTAGGGGAGGATGGGGTTCGGTTGGTTTCGGGGGTGGAGGAGGGCGGCGAAGATTGTGGAGTGGGGGGTTGTGGTTGTGAGGTTGAGTGGGTTTGGAGTGGAGTTGGTGTTGGTGGGTTGGATGTGCCAGGTTGGGATAGTGATGCGGTCTCCTGGGGAGGGGATTTGGGATGTGGTTGTGGTGGTGAGTAGGAGGGATGAGAGAAGGAGAAGGAAGGATGGTAGTGGGAGGTGCATTATGAATGATAGTATAGAGGTGTAGATTTAAATAAACTAGAGAGGTACTGGGACATTTATATTGCCGGAATGAAGGCATCACACCGACGTCGTCATATATTCAGCTTCGCTAATTATTACTCAACTTCCACTTTCCACCCTGCAGTCCACTGGCCTTACCTCCCACCAACTGCACCTTCACTCCCCGGTCCGACACCAGCTGTCCGCTCACATCCCCCAGCTCCACCGAGCCAGTCGTCCCGTTCGGCGTGCTAAACGACAGTTCCTGATATCTACCCCCCGATCTGCTGAAGCTTGACGCGAACGACCCCAGCCGGGTACTAAACCCAGCCTCGACCTGGGTCAAATTGCCCGGTTGTGGCTTATACAGCCAGGTCGCACCCGCCGGTCCTGTCACACGCAGCCCGGCCGTGTAGATGGTCAGCGCGGACGTCGGTCCCGTGGCCCAGCCGTGCGCGTGCGACACCCGCGGCGTATTGGTGTACGGTGCGTAGGCCAGCGATCCGTCCGTGGAATACCCCTCGATGAAGGTGGAGTTGGTCATCCGCGGGTCATCCAGCATGAATCCCCACTGCAGCCGGAGGAGATCAAGGGCGCGATCAGGCTGGCCAGCCTGGTAGTGGGCTTGCAGCTCGAAGCCGCCGATGAAAGGCGACACCGTTGCACCCGCCTCCGGGGCGGGTGCGCCGTAAGGCCCCCAGCGGGCAGCGAGCGATTCAGAAACGATGGTACTCTGGTTGGCAGAGAGGGTGAGGTTTGCCTTGACAGCCCAGGAGTTGCCATCTTGCGGGTGCAGGGTGGTGGTCTCGTTGTCGGTGTAGAGACCGTTCTTGTCGTCCCAGAGAAGTTCGTTTGCTACAGTCTTGATCCGGGCCGCAGTGGTGGTCCAGTTCCTGATGGGTGCGTTGTCATTGAGGGTCTGGGCGAGAGAGATGGCATCGTTGAGGACGTAGTACAGAATCGCGTTGGCTTCGATGTTCTGTTCTTATTAGCATTGCACTGATTGTCTTCTGCTGTGTACTTACATGTGCCCCCATGCCAAACCTCAGCCAGTCAGCACTTGCTGTGATATTGGCCAGGCCCGTGCTGTCCACGCTCGACAACGCCCATTGCACACCCTTCTTGTATTGACCCCAGTACCGGGTCAACCACGCGCGGTCCCCAGTGTACTGATAATAGGATGCCGCGCCAACCAGGCTGTGGAGATGGTAGGTGAAGCTAACCGTGTCGAAGAATGGTTTCCCAGCATAGGGAAGTCGGCCATCAGGTTTCTGGAGAGCATACAAGGATTCCAATGCCGTGCGGACACTATACAGATCCTCGGTGCTGACACCCACGCTCTCCAAAGCAATGGACATATCACCTGGCCAGACAAGCCGGTCACGCTTGGCTCCATCAGTCAAGGTGCTGCTGCCATTAGTGATGGTGTAGTTTGTCCACCACTTGTCCGTCTGCGGAAGTGAAATGGTCTCAGACGAGGTGATGACGCCCAGGCCCACCAAAGCGTCTCCCGTAGTGGGATCGATACTGCATAACTGCAGGGTATAGGCACCGGCATACCAAATGCGGTTGAGGAGCTCATCGTTGCTGTGGAAGTACCCCGTGTACGCACGAAGGTCCTGTGCGGGAGATGCCGTATAGTTGATCTTGACGCTGTTGAGAGAGACCGTGGCGGTGGTGTTGCTAACAACCGTCATATACCGGAACGCGCCCCGGTTGTACTTCTTTTCCACTGTATATAGGCCCGCTCCCTGACCGACAGCGAACCAGAGCGGAGTGTCAAGGCCCGCGTCCTGAGTAGCATCGCATGCCTCGCTACTGATCCACATACTAGACTCGGTGAAGGTCACGCCGATAAAGGCGGACTCGGAGGAGGCGGAAGCGACATCCACAGACACGATACCAGCAACATTGATGCCAAAGTCGTATGTCACCGACGAGACGCCGTTAAAAGTGGCCTGCCCGCCAGCACCCGTCAAGGCGGCCGCATTGGTGACGGAACCGTTCACCTGGCGAACGGACGCAGGAGCCAAGTCGCGAGAGCTCGGGGCTAGGATGTACTCCTCGTAGGGCACTGCCAACGCCTCAGTGGCCAGTAAGGCCGACAGCAGCCAGGAAGACCACATTGTGAGATGATTTTGGTGAAACTGGGTGTCTCTCAAGCTGGCTTTCTGCACGGCTAAATATCGGCCATCAAGCTTAGTCGGTACAATGGCAGCCGATGGTAGCAACGATCAAAGTTATCGGTAGATCATCCTTCCGAGGAATGACGCATATCTGCTGGTTCTCCACTGCTGCTCAGGTTCGGTGATGGACGGAAATGACGCGCGTGGGGACGTGAGGCGATCGTGCTGTTGGTTGGTTGGTTGGCAGACAAACTGCAATGCATGACTTGGCAGCCATCGGCAGGTGGACAGTGGAACAAGAGACTGGAATCGATGGGTCCTCGAGATGAAAAGAGGAGACGCGATGAGGAGAAAGGTTGGGGAGAGAGGAGAATCGGCAAGAGGGATCGCGAGAGGGCCGGAAATGCCGAGTGTTGCCTAATGGCCAGTCCACAGGGTCTGTTCGCTGCATTTGCTGCATTTGCTGCATTCCCCACGGGGGTCGGGTTAGCCCGCCGCTGAAGATCCACTGCACCCGACTATTCCCATGCAGAGGCAGAGCACTTACAAAATCACATAGCTTGAAACCAGACCATGAATAAATTTAGAAAGCGCAAGATATAATTTAGATACATTTAACATCATAATAACGCCTCAGTTGCTACCTCCTATTCATCGGAAATCCACTATAGGTTTGCATGCGGGTGAGTTGCCGATGCCGTATCGCTGTCACTCAACAGACTGCGACGCACACCTGCGGCATTCATGGACGCTACTCGATGAACAGGACTGCTCCCTCGACTGACGGGAAACAAATTCGCCTGGCTGACGGGCGTCTCAGACATCTCACGACCAGGAGCAGTGTCGCGGGCCAGATCTTGGTGACTTCGATGCAGTCCCTCACTAGCAACAGACCCAGTGTCGTCGATCAAACTGCCTTTGTTCCACATCTCCGGCGTGCCCTCACCCCGAGCAGTCGTGCCGAGCGCATCCAGCTCCGTGATCAACTGGCTCCCCGACTTGGCAAAGGATCCCCGGTCGTCCCGCATCGGCCGATAGCGCATGTCCGGATTCTTCGAGAAGATAGCGTTAACGGAGGAGTAAAGAACGAGGAGGAGCAGAATGAGCGCAAAGGCGGCATTGTACACAAAGAAAATGACCCCCATCACACCGGTCACGATGCCGGGCTGGTCGAAGACGTTGGAAAAGAAAAGCAACAAGATGGAATTCAAAAAGTTGATGGATGCGATGGCGATATTGTAGCCATTGGTCTTTTTGTCCATCCACGGTCGCACAATACTGATCCCAATAAGCGCCAAGGTCTCAATAATCACCATGGCCACCGTCTGCACCACCGGGGCCGGCTGGCTCAGACTGATGAACATCGCCTTGACGAAGATATACAGTAGTGCGAACACGAGGAAGTAGTAGGCGGTCGCTCGGTAATGCACATACAAAAACCCCAGCTTGTTCAGACATGCCTCGTCTGAGTAGAGGATATAGGCCGGGTTTCGATGCATTGCTACCGACCTCCGTGCGAGAATGATGACTCGGAAGGCAGCCCAGCCCAGCGTGCAGATCATGGAAACCAGCATGATCACCGCCAAAACGACTTCGGCTGCCGAATCATGCTGCGTAAATTCCCACAGACAAAGGACGCACATCTGCGGAAATCCGATGAAAATGAGCCGATAGAGGATACCTTTCGACACATGAAAGTCGCCAAACTTGTCGGTCTTGGTCTTCCCTTTCTTCGCCAGAAAGTGGCTTCCCACCTTGAGCGACGCGACGATGATCATCACCACGGCGACGAAAAAGACGAAGAAGATGAAGCCGGTGAGGAAGATATTGGTGCCCTCAATGCCGGCCCTGAACCCCACACGATCGATTCCCCGCACCTCCGTGGTGCCGGTAGTGGCAGTCTCCGACTGGGCATATTGTCGTTTGAACACATTGGTGACGCCGTCAAAAGATCGCTTTCGTTTCAGAACTTCAACAGACGTAGTCGAGAGCTCGGACAAGACAGTCGACGGCGTACCGCCAGTTGCCCTTTGGTACCAGGTACAAATGGTATCCAAGAACTTAACATGGATGATCCCCATGCTCCATTGCATGTTCTGGGTCCATGCTTCCACGATCGGCGGCATGTGGACCGAGATCATCCCAAACATGGCCTGTGATTGCATGAAGCTGAAGAAGGCCAGCACGTTAGCGGCGACATGAGCCGCAGTGTTCGAGTTGCCCAGACCAGCTGCAACAGCTGAAGCGATAAGCCCGACGCCGGAGATCACCGCAGTCGTCCATCCGACTCCTTTCTGGTAGACTGTTTTTCCATTCGACAAGGTCGCTTCGAGACATGTAATACTGGTGCCGGTATCCGTGGAGTTGATGTAAACCCGAACGGTGGCATCAAGGTCTGGCACAGTGTATGCGATACCTAGAATATTGTTAATACTATTAGACAATCAATGCGCGGGATACTACAGACCCGGGATCCGGCGCACCACATCTTCCGGAATTGTGACCAGGGCGTTCTGGACATTAATGGCACCGGCGCTCATCGGACAGAGACCCTCTATATTCATTTTACACGGGTCCAACGTCTCACCAGTCAACTGGTAGCCATAGACGTCGACCGAGAGATCGGCAGTAACTTTGCCGGAGATGGCGGCCACGCCATCGAAACTCAGAACCAAGGAACGATTCTCGGGCGTGAAGCGGACGCTGAAGTAGGTGGCAGTAAAATTGTTGCTATCCTGGCAGATATTCAAAGCATTTGATTCAATGAGTCTGGTTGCAGCGGCCAGCGGTGCTGTAGACGCGAGGAGGGCGCTGGTGAGACACGTTGACCAGCGCATTCTCACGTCTCACTTTAGGGGGTGGTGGGGAAGTGAAGATAAATGGGAGCGAATGACGGGGGGTGAGCAACTAGCGATTCCAGATAACGACTGACACCAGCGTGCTATCTGACATGTCGTCAAATGGCTGGCAAAATAGGGAGATGCAACAGAGTTGTCGAGGGGAGTTAGCGAGAGATTGAGCGGGAGGAAAAGCGACAGTCACACGCAGGATATAAGTCTGACGGGGACATGAAGTTGGAAGAGTCAGTGGCGCCGGAGGGAGTGGCCAGGCTTTTCTCCATCTGGTTGGCGGGCTTTGCAGGTGCCAAGCGGGTGTCAATGGATTCACGCAGGTTGCCTACAAGGGACTAGAGGGTTGTTGGTTGGGCTCAGGCTTCTTTCGCTGGACCCTTCGGGGCCGGATGCCCCCAGCTAAATTTAGACCCGATCGCCATCCAACTCTGACTGAGTTCCTCCGGCGCTACCACCAGCCTGCACCAATCGGTTAGTTTAGGAGCAGCAATGGCGCTGATGGAACTGTTGCGCGGTAAAGAGTGGGTGCTTTGATACTGAATCGAGCGATGCTGCTACATTCTACCAGGCAAATGGACTATGCAATGTTATTGTGATCCTACCAGGTACACCCGTCTTTGGCCCCAAACAGGATGATAGGGTCCATTCATTGGGCGTATTTAAGATAATGGACCGCTGATCATCCTGACAGTTAACCTAAGATAAGCATCGGGACAGGCGGAACAGATCAAATCTCCTTGCTTGACTGTCGTAGGGCGGGCGATCGGTGTACATACCAATGAATGTCATAGCGATTGTTGGGATTAGTCTATATCATCTAATTACGGATTGCTGTGATAAACTACAGTTCGTAGTGCGCAATTGAAAAAGTGATAAGCATAAGAAGAGGGGTGGAATAAACGACAAAGAGATAGATAGGGATGGTTAAAAGGGAAAAAAGAAAAGAAAAAAGAAAGAAAAACAAAAAAGGATTGGGACGAGCCGGGCTTGAACCGGCCACCTCCAGATCTTCAGTCTGACGCGCTCCCAGATGCGCCATCGTCCCGTAGTACTTGTTACACTGTTCACTTTAAAGTTTTATATTCTCCTGGCTTTTGTGTACCTAATTTACTACGCCATGTCTGCCATTGACTTTGTACCTCTATTCACCAGCATTGTTCCTGGTACTTTGGCCCTACCCATAGTTCATACACTCAAACGAAGCTAGAACCTGAGACGAACATCAACTTGAGCCCCACTATCTGGAAATTACTCCATCGCTGATCTGTAGCACTGCCCCATTATATATCAGAAGCTGCTGGGGTGAATGTAACATTAATTATCATATCGATTAGGCACCAGCAATCATGAGCGCTTGTCATTACGACTGAATACTAATAGCGGCAGGGTCCAGCCATTACAGTGTTTCGACAGGCGGCTAAAGTGCCTATCTGAACAATGGCACGATCTTTGTTCGATTCATCTGGCGTCCCGCAGGACCCTGACCCTAGTATATACATCCATACTATTTATGTAATAACATATAAGGAAACTGTTGCGAGTGTTTTGATTCCATACAACACATTGACCCACCTAATCCCCTCATACATAAGTACTAATGACCAATGAAACCAACTCTCATATCCTAGGATGTCTCACATACCTTGTTCAAAGTCATAACATGTGAGCTCCTTCTGGCCCCGTCCAAGTGGAGAAGAAAAGGGGCCCCAATTGCAAATAAGCAACAATCGCCGTTAACCCACTCATTCATCCGCTTCACTCATGCTTCAATAGAGCTGACACAAAGAAAATTCAAAACGGACTAAGTACAACACAGCCACTCGCATTCAACTTACCAGATTTGCTGGCATGATTTGTTGCTGGTGTATCCCCTGAGCTGCGGGGTAACATGGCCAGATCACGGCTTGAGCCTTGCGTATACCTCTACACCTGTAGTAGCTAGTGTGCCCGGCAAACACCATCTATCCGGACTTCATCTACATTCCATCCCACCACTACTACTTCCAATTCTAAACAAACGGCCAAAGTAGCACCACACCATGCCCAAAATCCCCCTCCTCAAGGGCCTCCTCCTCCCCATCGGGGAGATCCCCTTAGACAGCATCCAACCAGACCCCAACATCAGCTGCACCAAAAAGGACCTCAAAACAATCACGTCCTATAACCTCCTTCCGAAGAAGGAAAAGAGCATGGTAGTTCCAGGTAGATCCCTCCCGAGCATTTACCCCCAACAACATATACTAATAGTTTCAAAGGAACACCCCCCATCTACAAACCCCCCACCACCCCCCTCCTCATCCCCGCCGACTCCGGAAAATACATCCTCGACCCCAACAGCCACATCTTCCCCAAATGCTCCCTGGAACCTCTCCTCCGCGCCATCTCCACCAGCACCAGCACCAGCACCACCCCCAAACCAAAACTAAACCTCACCACAACGGACCTAATCACCGACCGACGCAACCTCCGCCTCCTCCTCTCCTTCGTCAGCGCCAACAAAAAGCCCTTCCGAATCAACATCGAAGTAATCCACTCGACGGTACTCTTCTCGACCTGGACATCCAGCAAAACCAACACCAACTTCGTAGGCAAATTCGAAGGCTACGGCCACTCCTTCGAGAAAACATCTACCTGGACGCCGCGCTACATCCGCGGAAGCATCATCCACAACAGAGTGGTACGGTATACCCTGGGCGGGATACACATCCTGCTTCGCTATGAAGTAGACGCATGCATGCCCGGGAAACCACACACTCCCAATCCCAATAATACCAATCAGCAATCACCCACAGGGATACACATAATCAACTCCGGCACCCTCGTCCCTCCGCACCGCATAATCGAGATCAAAACCGGCCCTGTGAATAAACGACTCGATAACTCCAAGAACCTATCGCAGATGTGGTTCTCGCATACTCCGATACTGTGTACGGGGCAGTATCAGCCCGACGGGACGTTTTTGCCCGCGCGGACGCAGAATATGGAGAAGGAGGGGAGGTTGGCGCAGTGGGAGAGGGATAATGAGGAGAAGATACGGAAGTTGGTGAGCGTGTTGGAGAGGGTGTTTGAGGTTGTGAGAGGTGTGCCGCATAAGTGTGCGTTGGTGCATAATGGGGATGGGGTGTTGAGGGTGTATCAGGATGATGGGAATGGGGCCGTGGGGAGGGGGGTGCCGGGGGATTTGCTGGGGTTGTGGGATGATGGGGGTGTCCCAGTTAAGTAAGTAGGGAGTGTTGATGGGACTGACTTGATATTCTATTAACTGGCGGAAGACACCGTTTGGTTTGTTTAGGGGGGATAGGATGATGGTCTCGCTACTAACTTCACCAGTTAAAGTGCACTGCAGTGGTAGTTGTGGTTGTCGGGAGATCATTGATATATAGTACTACTGCACTCATTCCCTCGAACCTCGACGAGGCTACTGAACGACAACTTGAAAGAAAACTCAGCCTCGTTACAGAGCTAGCCATCAAGACACCTAGGAAGAAAGGGGAGGTCACTTCCACACTTAATGAAGCAACTTGGGATTATGCAACAGAATTCTTGAAAGACCCAAGGATATGAATCGGATACTGGTTGGAGAAGAGAACCGGCGTGTCAACTAAATGCAGGCCAAGGCAACTGAAGCCTCTTCAGTTCCCTTCGTCCTTACTTCCATCTTGATCGTCACTCTACTACACACTAGATAGATCAGACTTACTTTTTGGTCTCGTACTACGGCAGTGAGGTTGATGAACGATTTCGTCTAATAAATCATTGAATTATGGATATCATACAAATCTCTATCCCGTAGCATCGCTAACTTTTACCGTAACCAACCATCCCAAAAACCAAAAAACGCCTACAACAATGCGCGAAGAACACCGGTCTGTTCCAACACAGCCCGGCGGCTGGTACCACCAACGGCATCCTTCAGTTCAACAGCACGCTCGTAGTCCAAGCAGGCCTGGACGCCCTCGTCGAACCGGGCATCCACAGTCTGCAGCTGCTCCAGAGACAGGGTGTCCATGGGCACGTTGTGCTTCTCGGCCAGTGCAACAACACGGCCCGAGATGTGGTGGCCCTCGCGGAAAGGCACGCCCTTGCGGACGAGGTAGTCGGCAATCTCGGTGGCCAGCATCTCCGGCGCCAGCGCGGCAGTCATCTTCTCGGGGATAGTAGTGAGGGTGGAGAGAACACCAGTGGCGATCTGAATGCTGTCTCCGACAGTCTTGATGTGGTCGAGCAGGGGCTCGACACTCTCCTGAAGATCCTTGTTGTATGTGGTAGGGAGACCCTTGATGGTGCACATCAGACCGGCCATCTGGCCAAAGGCACGACCGGCCTTTCCACGCAGAAGCTCCAGGCTGTCTTTGAGCAAGTCAGTATAAATTTGCGTGTTATAGTAATCGGGGGTGCACTGACCTGCGTTCTTCTTCTGAGGCATCAACGACGAACCGGTCGAGTAAGCATCGGACAACCGGACAAAGCCAAACTCCAAGCTGCTGTAAATGATCAGATCCTCCGCCCAGCGGGAGATCTTGAGCATGAAGGAGCTGCCCCATTGCATGGTCTCCATAGCGAAATCACGGTCGGCCACAGCGTTCATCGAGTTGTAGAGCAGACCATCAAAGCCAAGCTCCTTGGCCATGGCCTCACGGTCAATCTGGAAAGGGTTTCCTGCAAGGGCACCAGTACCCAGGGGACTGCGGTTGACGCGCTTGATGACCTCCCGCAGACGCTGGAGTTCGCTGGCAAAGGCGGTGGCATGGGACAGGAGCCAGTGGCTCCAGCGGACCGGCTGGGCCTTCTGCAAGTGGGTGTAACCCGGCATGATGTAGTCGAGCTCAGACTCCGCACGGGCAATGGAGACCTTGACGAGATCGCACAGGAAGCTTTCCAGCTTGCGCAGTTCATCCCGCAGCCACAAGCGCATGTCCGTGGCAATCTGCTCGTTACGGGACCGGCCGGTGTGCAGCTTGCCTCCAATCTCCTTGCCGATAATCTCGGAAAGACGGCGCTCGTTGGCTGTGTGGATGTCCTCGTCGTTCTCCTTGGCGACGAAAGTGTTGGTGCTCCATTCCTCGGCGATCTGCTTGAAGCCGCGCTCGATCTCAGCGAACTCGTGTGCGGTCAGGATGCCGTTCTTGTGGTTGGCCCGGGCAAAGGCAATGGAGCCGGCAATGTCCTGCTTCCAGAAGATGCGATCGTAGGGCAGGGACATGTTGTACTGCACCATCAGGGGGTCGAGGCCCTCTGCAGCCGGACGAGAACATTAGCCGCTGTGCCATTGAGAGGCATTGAGGGGGAATTGGTGTACTTACGGGTAAAACGACCTCCCCAGAGCATGTTTTCAGCGACAGCCTTGTTACCGCTCATTTTGAATGTGTGTATAGTGAAGATTGGATGGATGGAAAGAAGAGAAGAAAGAATTGACGGTGTTGATAAAGGACAGCGACGGGACTGGCTGGCTGAATTAGGCAAGTCTGAATCACACCGTCCTGGCGATGACTGTGACTCCCCCCCAGCGACATCGGGGACGCTAGGCTGCTTCCAGATAACGCGCTTGGGCCAATCAGCGCTTTCCATGACTCATCGCTGAGGGCTTCCCCGGTCACTAGACTAGAGACACGTGACTACCCCGCCCACACTACCGGACGACTCTGCAGCATGAATTCCCATTGATAGAATGATAATTAAGACTCGTATAACTCATTGATTGTGACATATGTCATCTAGATATGCATGTATACAAGTAAATGGCTGTCTACGTGGGTGACCACCACCTAGTCAGTCGCCGTGAAGTAGCGCTTGAAACGGTCGGACCGAGTCAAACGCAACTCCACAATGACGGAGTGGCAGCTCATGAGAAGACTGGGAAACCGTACAGTCCAGAAATTAAGATACCCCTCGGGCAACCCGCCAATGTGTGCCTTGAGATGCTCCGGCATGTCGTTGTAATGGTTGCGCTTGTTCCGGAGGGCTCGCAGCAAATCTAACATCTTCGATCCCGTGTACTTACGCTGCTTGCCGAGATTATCCTTAAAGTCCCGTGGCAGTAGTCGCAGGAAATCCATGTCCGGGCCCATCACTCGTGGAGCGACCGACTCGAGACACAAAAGGGCGTCCGAAGGAGGATCCCGCGGTTCGAATTCGAAGTGATCCGAGACATCGCAGAGGAAGCTAAGACGGTCAGATGGAGGCCAAAAGAACGGGTGCGTCAACACAGCGCTCGCATCGGGTCTAGAAAAGTTAGTACTACGCATGGCACGTAATGAGCATCGACTTACCGTCGTCGAGGATCAAGCGACAACATGGACTGGATTAGATTTTCAGCCTCGTAGGCATAGTCGCCCAGACGCTGCAGCTCATCGAGGTTGTGGTTGCCCTTGACAATGTTGGCTTCGCGCATAAACTTGCCATTCTTGTCAAAAGGATGGCACCCCCGCGTCAGAACGTAATAGAAGACGCAGCCCAAAGAGAAGATATCGATGGCTCGAGTAGCCCGCCGGTTGGTTTGAGGGTCCACCACAGCTGGTTCTGATGATTCGGTGTGTTGGGACTCGCTACCCTGCATAGCCGGGCTCATGTCGTCGTCTACCAGCAATTCAGGGGCTCGCCAGCCTGAGGTACCGGCGGCATGTGCCGTAGTCGCACGGAAGGAGCTTTGGTTGTCTTCGAGCTTCTTACACAAGCCGAAATCCGAGATCAGCAACCGCAGGGAGCGTGAACCAGTACGCCCGCGAGGCATCGCCACCAAGATGTTCTGTGGCTTCAGATCGCGGTGCACAATCTTAAGAGAATGGAGGTAGCGAACACCTGCCACAATTTGGCGCAGAACGTCCGGCAGGTCCAAGCCGCCCTGGACTAACTGCGGGAAATCTGATGGACGTTCAACCACATCCTGCAAAGAGGCCGGGCAGAGCTCCAAAGCAATGTAGAGGAAACCAGCAGCCTGCTCTCGGCAGTAGTACCGGATCACATTGCCATGGTCATCACTTTCTTGCAACAGGCCCACTTCATGGGATGCAATATCATAGAATTCTACCAGCATGCGCTTGACAGCCACGTCGCGCCCATCGAACGAGCCCCGATACACCACGGTCCCGTGGCTGCCGTGTCCCAGGACCACGTCAGTGAACACTCTAAGACGGCCGATCTGGAGAACGCCATCCATTTCCATGATCTCATGCGACACCGTCCGGGTCAGCTGTACATCGGGTTCCAAGCGAGGCTGAGGTTGAAGCTTGTTCACTTCATCAACAACGCGATCGGCCGGGTCCCTGGATTCGCTGTCGCTATTGGGCTTCTTGCCCCGCCTATGATTCTTGCCACCACGACGTCCGCGGCGAGCCTTCTTCTTAGGCTTTTCGCCGTCTTGTAGATTGAGCTCGTCCACATCGTCATCACCATCTGGGCCTTGAGACGGTTCCCGGATGCGTACGCGTGGAGTTGTATCGGGCGCAAGAGAGTTCTGGGATTTCTTGGGCCTTGGCGTCGAATCACCACCCCACGCCTGCTCTTCTGAAACATTCATGTCGACAGTCAGATTCGCCATGCGGTTAGGGCTAGCCTCGCGTTTCGAATGAGGGGCTTCCACGATTGGAGTTGAGGGGGTAGACATGGGCGGCTGTCCGTATGAGGCCATGATATTTTTCAGATCCAGCTTCTGCTTAGCAAGCTCCTGAATGTGATGAGAATTGAACCAGATGAAGGTGCCGAAAAACAGAAGCAAGAGCGTCACAAAAATATCAATGGCATTATCCCAGCCCTTCCGTATAATGGTGCTGTGGCGTAGAGCCGGAGGCAGTGCCAAGTCCGACGAGCTATAGATCAACTCCCGAGGCGTGTCATTGGACATATCGGCTGACGAGGGGCCAGAAATGCTGGGGATGTGACGGCGGACGACGCGTGGGCCGTTCAAAGAATGGACTCCTGCTAGTGCATCTTGTTGCTGACTCGGGGTCAGACTTGTTAGGGGTTGACCATGGCGGAGGTAATCTTTTTCGTAGCATTGAGCCATCTTGGCTCTCCCGGTGACAAGCGGGTAGGTGGCCTCCGACATGGCATACCAACCACCACCCTCGGTGTAATCAATGAATACTCTTTCATCACGATCGTCAAGCGTACCGTAGTCGGGGTCAGGAGGCTGTAGAGGCTGCGAGAGTAGAATAAGCGGAGTAGGATCGTTAGATGAGTCGGCGCTGACCGGACGAGCAACATCGAAGACGCGGACCACCGGAC